CAGACTTGCCAAGGGTTGCATTTGTATCCAGCCCCGTGCTTCGGGTCCAGACTCTTGTGGGCTGGATAAGGAGTGATGTGCGTGAACGTTGTGGGTTGCCCTGTGCTGGGAACTGGGAGCAATCCAGGCCTCCCTGTTCTTCTGTGAGTGAGGGGCTCCGTTAAGCACCCGCCCTCCATCCCCTGTGTCTCTGTCCCTTCTCTGCCATACAGTCCTTCTTCCACACGGTCCTGGAGAACAGCCACGCCTGCGAGACGCTGGTCGATAACAACCTCCGCGTGACCAACTGGAACCGCAAGCTGGGCTGTAAGTGCCAATATAAACACATAGTCGACTGGTGCGGGTGCTCCCCAAATGACTTCAAACCCCAGGACTTCCTCCGGCTACAGGTGAAAAAGATCCTCCTTTCTCCTCCTGCTCTTTCCCCTCCTGCCTCTCTGTCCCGGCTCTCCTCTGAGCTCCCCTGCAGATGCAGTGCCAGCTGCTGTGCACGAGCCTCACCCGGCCCGGCAGGAACAGGAGCAGGATTGGCTCTCTGGCCCCCGTGGGGCTCAGCACAGATGTGGCTGAGCGCTCTGCTGGCGGGGTTGTGCTGGCTGCCCTGCCTAGCAGCCGGGTTCTGCTTGCGATGCTGCTCCTTTTCCCAGACTCTTTCCCATTTCCCTGCTCTTTCTTTGCAGACCTATTGGGGCAAATATCTGTTCTTTAAAACCTGTGAAAAAAGTGCTGTCATCTTTGGTAGGACAAAATATTTTGACATCCTCCTGTGCTCTCAGCAAGCTGAGATGTAAACTGAATGGTGGAGGTTTGGGAGATCTCTGTCCCTCGGTGGGATTTTCTAGTGAGGGGCTGCAGTACTCCGTGGTGCACAGCGCTGATCCTGCAAGCTGTGCCACATGGCCAGGACTCTGCAGGTTGGTGGGTGGGAGCCCTTCTGAGCATAGCCAGATACAACAGATAAGGGGTGAATGACAAGTGGATGCTTGTGAGCACATAGAGGGGAAGGCAGTGGGAGAGATTGGAACCCATCTGCATTACCAGTAGCGATACTTTTTGCTACCACTGATCCTGCCACAGAGGATCCCACACACAGTCTGTGCTTTGCTGCTCCTCGGCCTGCGCCATCAGATGGGGCAGAATGGATCCTAGCACGCTTCTTCCCCCTGTGCCCCACACCCGGCCGCCCTGCTGAGGTGGGAGGGCGGAGGGGAAGCCGCCATTGCTGTTAGAAATGACTGTGTTGTTCCAGCAACTCTCCAGACCCACCTTCTTCGCCCGCAAGTTTGAGTCGACGGTGAATCAGGAGGTGCTGGAGATCCTGGACACCCACCTGTATGGCAGCTACCCCCCCAGCACACCTGCCCTCAAGGCCTACTGGGAGAACGTCTACGACCGCGTCGATGGGCTCAGCGGCCTCAGCGACGTCACCCTCACCTTCTACACGGGCTTCTCCAGGCTGGGGCTCCGCAAAGCAGCATCTGTGGTGGCGCCAGAGCAGGAGAAGCTCTGCAGGTGGGGCACTGACCGTGGCTCGGCCCAGGCTCTGAGGGGCGGCTGCACGTCGTGCTGGGAGGATGCTGACGCTCAGTTGTGCAACCTCTGTCTTTCTCCAGATTTGAGCCCCGAGGTTTCCCATCCAGTGTTCACTTGTATTTCTATGACGACCGTTTCCAGGGCTACCTGGTGATGCAGGAAGTGCAGAACTCAGCCACTGGCCGGGCAGAGTCCCTGGAGGTGTGGATGATGCCCCAAGGAGCTCTGAAGCTGGCGGGTCATGGAGGACAGGCAAACCGGTTACAGAACCTTGAGGTATGGGAAAAGTTTCACTCAGAACTCCTGCTTTCCTCCTGAGCTTTTCTACACCATGCTGCCCTTCTTTTTCTCCAAGCCTGCACACTGAGTGAGGCAGAGGGACACAGTGCCATTGTCATGGCTGAGAATGAACTTCTGTCCAGGAATTTGGCTTCAGTTTGGAGCTGAACAGTGGAGAAAAGGCTTTGAAGGGATCTTTGAAGTGGGGGGAGTTGAGGCAGCTGGTGGCAACACCTCTGGCTGCAGATGGCATTACATGCAGCTGGATTGGCACTGATGTGGTGAGGCGGACAGGAGAGCAGAGCAGGGTGGGTGTGCATCGCTTTGGGCTCCAAAGCTCATTTCCTCTCAGGTTTGGGATGGTGAAGCACAAATCCTGAGCTGGTAGCATCTGTTTGCCCAGTGTCCCACTGCCTCATGCCTCTTGTCCCTGCAGGTGGGCACGGAGTGGGATCCCAAGGAAAGGCTCTTCCGCAATTTTGGAGGCTTGATGGGGCCTTTTGACGAGCCGATGGCCATGCAGAAGTGGTCGCGAGGCCCCAACCTGACCGCCACAGTGGTGTGGATTGACCCCACGTATGTTATTGCTGCCTCCTACGACATCACCGTGGATGCTGAGACTGAATTCACCCAGTACAAGCCGCCCCTGAACCGGCCTCTGCGCCCCGGCATCTGGACCATCCGCCTGCTCCAGTTCTGGGAACCCCTGGGGGAGAACCAGTTCTTGGTGGTGCCACAGACCTTCAACCGCAGGCAGCCTCTCAGAAAAGGTGAGGATGCTCTGGGATCGGGGCCGAGGTCTTTCTGCGGGCAGTCCCATGTGCTTCCCCCCATGGTAGCCTCCAGCCTGCAGGAGCCATCCTCCTCTGCCCACGTATCCGCGTGTGTCAGATGAGGCTGGTAGGCCAATATGTCTGCCACATCCGTCCTCCAGGTGCCTCCCTGTCCCTTGGGCTGGACTACGGGCTGCAAGGGGCCGGGATGCTGAGGGTGCTGGGAGGAGCAGCGGAGAGCTGGGATCAGCAGTGCTCACGGCTCTCTTTGTCCCCATCCTGCACAGATGATAGCGGCTGGCTGCACGGCGGGCCCCCCCGCAACGAGTACATGGAGCAGAGCTTCCAGGGCCTGGGGGGGATCCTGAACCTGCCGCACCCCGAGGAGGCAGAGGCGGCGGCGGCACGGAAAGCACAGCTGACGGGGCGGGCGCTGGACGAGTGGGCAGACAGTGCCATCAGCACCTTCTGGTCCGTGGCGGACGTCTGTGTCGGCAGCGAATCCTCCTGCTCCTCCCTGGAGCTCTGCAGCAAAACCTCCTGGAGCTCACTGTCCCCGGACCCCAAATCAGAACTGGGGCCCGTCAAACCTGATGGGCGGCTGAGGTAGCAGGAGCAGCCGGGGGGCGGTGGGAGCTGGGGCCGTCCTGCATCACTGCCCTACGAGGGGCTCCAGGCTGCATCGCCCCGCACAATTCGCACCGAAGTTACTTGAGGAAGAGAACGGGGAAGTGCCGGGCTGAGGGATCCTCCTGCGGGTTTCTTCTGGAGGAGGAGGAGGTGCTCTTGGCCGTTTCCCCCAGGAATGGGCACTTGCCGGCCATGGGCAGCGTGCTGGGGTGCCCACCGCCGTGGGGCGCTGACGGGAGCTGCGTGGTTCTCAATCCAGGCCTTGGTGTCGTGGGAAGGGCTGGTGGAGGAGGGACGGAAGGCTGCCAGGGGCGGGCTCTGCACCAGCTCAGCGCCCTGCCCTCTCTGCCCTGCCCAGGCTCCATCTCTGCAGGATCAGCCCGGTGCCGCGGGCTGCTCCCCTGGAAGGCTGGCAGGGGACTCCAGGGCACGCAGGGACGTGCAGGAGCAGGATAGGTCAAAGGCTGCCCCGTGCATGGAGCTGCTGCTGGCCCAGGGCTTGCATCTCACCCCCTCGACCCCAACCCTTTAGTTTGTATTTTTATAAATATATATAGAAATATATATGATGCAAAGTGCAATAGAGACGAGACCCCCGTTGGCCGGGATGTCCTCGCATCTCCACGTCCCCTGAGACTGTAACATACCTTGTTCTCTTGGCTGTCCTGGTGCTGCAGGACAGGGTGCTGGGTTGTTTACATTTTTTTTATTGTTTTGCTGTTTACCATTTCCTGCTGGGGGCTGAGGAGGGACCGCATCGCGCTGCCCTCAGGGCAGCTGCCCGACTGTGCCAAACAATGGAGCTGCCGATGTTTGCTGTGCGACGGCTCAGAGGGCGGTTTGAGCCCGAGAAGCCGCTGTGGGACGTTGTGGCTTCCGTGTCTGCTCCACCCAGAGCTCCGGGGCGGGATGCGTCTCCTGCCAAAATGCAACGCGATGGCAGCTGCCCTGCGCCACGGCCCGTCGGCCCCGCCCGCTCTGTTCTCCTGGGTCAGCAGACGCTCTCAGGATCTGCTCTGCTTCCCCGGCTACAAAGCAAAGCAAGGAGATCCGGCCGGCTCCATCCGCTCTGTGCTGCTTCTGCTTCCCCCGTCCCAGGGAGTGGCGGCGCGCCCCGTTCCCAGCCACCCGCCGGCCCGGGCCCTGCCGGCGCCGTTCTTCTCCGAGAGCAGCGCTGCGTGGGACGGCCGGCTTCAGTTTTCCACCCCGAGGAGCTGCTCCACCTGTGGAACTGCGACTGGAGTTCGTGACCAGCCTGAGGACGGAAGTTGCCTGTGCGAGGACGGGCGAGGGCTGCTGCTGGGGCAAGGGCACCTCCTGAGCCCCCCGCCGCCTTTCCCCCCGCTCCCCCCCAAGTTCCGCGGGCTGTGCGAGCTGCGAGCTGCCCATCGCTCGCCCTTTTCCCCCGCACCGCAGCTGCCGGAGCTGTGGGTACGCGCCGGGCCGGCACCGTGCGGAGCGCCAAAATTTGTGTCGGGAGCGTTATGTAAAGTTACCTTGAATATGCAACATCTCCACAAATATATCTATATCTGTACGGTGTGTCGGCTCCGTGCGGGCTGCGGGTGCCCCCGAGCTCCGTTCCGCGGTACCACTTCTTCCCGCGGCGCTCGGGGCGGGGGGCGATGCTCCCCTCCGCGCTCGCCGTTAATGAGCGGCTCTCCTTCCCGGTGCCCGCACGCGGCCCCGCCGCCCCCTCCCCTCCCGGCCGCTCCCTCCCGGGGCTCCGCCCGCGCGTCGCGTCGCCACGGCGACCTCCGGCCCCGCCGCCAGTGGGGCCGGGGGGCGGCGCCGCTGCCGGCGCTGTGCTGGGCCCGGCCCGGCGGGTTGCGGAGCGGAGCGGTGGGAGTATGGTGCGGCCCGGCGAGGAGAACATGGACAGCAACGTCCTGGCCATCGTCGTCGCTGCCAGTGAGTGCGCGGCCGGGGCTCCGCGCCGGGGACGTTCTCCGGGGTTCCCCGCGGTGCCGGGACGGAACCGGGAGCGTTCGGTCCGCTCCCTGCAGCCGGAACGGCTTCCGCTCCCAGCACGCGGTCCGTTGGGAACCGCAGACGCGGAAGCTGCGGGGAGCCGTGGCTGCGTCCCGAGATACGCTCGGGGCAGCGCGGGGGTACGGGGCGGAGCTGAGCTGGTCGTGGGACGCGCTCTGGGAACAGAGCCGATGTCTCGTTACGGCGAGAGAAGCGCTGGGGACGCGCGGTGCTCTCGGTGTCTCTGCGTCGGGCAGCGGGCGAGTCCGGCTTCCCCGCGCTGCTTTGTTCCTACAGACCCCGCGGGCGAAGGGGCTGCGCGCTCTGCCCGCCGCTCACTGCGTCTCCTCTCCCCTGGCAGCCGTGTCCACATCCTTGTTCTTCGTGGCGGTGCTCGTCCTGCTGCTGCTCCTGTACCGCCGGGACCCCACGTGCTGCCAGTTCCTCTGCTCGTGCCGCTTCTTCCAGAGCCCCGGGCAGTGCGTGAGTGCCCCGTGCCCTCGTGCCGGGCTCTGCTGGGGGGGAACCGCCGCGGCTCCCCTCGGCGGCCCGGGTCGCGCTTTCCTCCTTCCTTCCCTTTCTCCATTCGGCACGCTGGCGAGCAGAGCTCCGCGCTGCTCCACTTTACGGGGAAGGGGCCTCGCGAGGAGTGGGGCCGGGAAGCGGCGTGTTCGGCCGGCTCGCCTTTGTGCGGTGCCCGGGGAAGGCGCCGTTCCGAGCGATACGGGGACGGCGCTTCGGGCTTTGGGTGCGGAAAGGCGGCTTCCCCGCTGCCCGGGCCGGTGGGTGCCGCGCTGACCCGGAACGGGGCGGCACCGCGCCGCCATCCGGCGCAGTCACGCGCGCTGCCCTCCGCCTCCCGCTCTGCCCCGCGGTCCGCCCGAAGGCTCCGCGCCGCTTTGTGAGAGCAGGGAGCGCTCCTCTCCGCGGGAGGGATCTTTGCTGGCGGTTGCTCAGCGCTTTTGCAGGGAATCGCGTTTAAGCGCAGCAAGGCTGCTCAGGAGCAGAACAGTAATTGCTCCTCAGAGCTGCTTGCAGCGTTGCTCTGAAACGAATCCCTGAATAGATAAGAGTTTACAAATGCTGTGACCTTGAACGCGTGCCAGAGCTCTTATCTACACCAGTGGAAAAGCCGAGTGCCCGCTTTTCTGGTTTTTTCCTTTTTTTATGTCGTGCTGTTCCCCCGTGAAAGCTAATTCTGCTGAATCTGCATGAAGCCTCCGGCGCCCGGCAGCGCGGCCAGCCGACGTGGGCGCCCAGAGAGGACCTGCTGCTGCCCGGCCAGACCGTGCGGGAGCTCTGGGTGCGGGAAGGGTGCAGGCACGGCGCGCCGGGCACAGCCGGCAGCTCTTCGTCCGGAGCTGCAGCTGCGGGGGGATTTCAGCTCACTGCTCCTCTCTGACCCCTCGTTCCAGGACTGCCAACCCCCGTACTTCAGCAGCAACCAGCGGCTGGTGGGACCCCAGTGCAGAGCGTCGCGGCTGGAGAGCGCTGCTGAGAATCCTGGCATGCAGGTGGTGCTGCTTTCCCTACGGGGAGCTGGGGGGAAGGGTAGCGAAGGTCCCGATGACCCTGGAAGGAGACTTGGGAAGGTTGTGGTGTCCCGGGAAGATCTCGGGGCTCATGAGAGAGGAGTCGGGCTCTGGGAAAGCTGTCTGTGCACAAGAACTGGTGCAGAAGGCCCAGGGATGCTACAGAGGGCACCACCTTGTCTTTGTATGTCTTGCTTTGATTGGGCAGATCCCCAGGACTTTGGGATCTTTTAGAGTGCATCTGCATCTTGCACCTGTGGTGTAATTATTTCCAGGTGTGCGGGGTGAGGGGAGTGCGGATTTCCTCTTTAAGGGGTTCAAGGAGCAGCACCCGTAGTTTTGAGCCTGAAGCATCCCGAGGTGGCATTGGGCCGCCGGCTCCCAGCAGAGCCCCGCTGCGCTGACACCTCTGGCTTTGGTGTCTCCAGGCAGAGGAGCCGTTCTGTGTCGCGCCGCCCAGCAGCTACCAGCTGCCCTCCTGGGAGCCCCGCCTGCCCAGCTATGAGAGCGTGCGGAAGAAGGACCGCCAGCGGGAGATCCATCAGATGATCGCAGAGAGGTTTGGGCTGTGGGCAGAGCCTTCCCAGGAGGTGAGCCCAGGGCTGCGCTCGGTCGGTGAGGGCCCAGGGGCAGCGCTGCTCCCATCTGTATCTGGCTTTGGCTCCAGTGATTTGCAGTGCTTATGGACTCTGTTCCCCACGCTCGCCGTTCTCCGATAGCCATTATCTCTGGGAAGGGCACACGGTGTACTCAGAGGCTCCTTTTGTGTACATCTGTGCAGTTAATGATTCATCTCTGCCGGTGCGTTTGCAGAAATGCCTGTGCTGGGAGTAAGGACAGAAGTGCTGATGGCAGAGCGAGCCCTTATGATCAGTGCTCTGTGCCAGGCCGAGCGTGGAAAGCTATTTTTGGATCTGAAGGCTTCAGTGGTTCCTCGCTCCTTTCTCCCAGCAGGACGTTTCTGACAGCCCTGTGCTGCTACCTCAAAGTGCTCGTGGCTTATTGAGAGCCAGAGGCTTTGCCTGCTGTGGTATTTAAGATCTGCAGTCCAACAGAGGGCATCTGACACGAGACTCCTGTTGAAGAAGTCCTCGTTGACTGAAGCAGCAGAGAAATATTTGAAATCCTTAGCAGAGCACAAAGCACTCCCTGGTTTACCTGGATTTTCAGCTTGTAGTGCTACAATGCAATATTTGGAATTGCAGATCTTGGCGCTCAGCACTTGGGTTTGTAACCAATGCCCTGATGTGAGAGCACTGAGGGCAGAGGAAAGCAAGGCCCAGCCGCACCAAGGACAAGAAATTGAACTCTTAACATTTCTTAGCCTGTGCTGAGTGACTTGCTCAGAATTGTGCCTGCTAAAGCCCAACAGGCTTAAATTTGGGAGTACTGAGCCTTGAAAACTCTGAAGTTACAAACTGTAGCCTGCTTTTATAGATCCCCATATAGCCTGCACGTAGCTAAAGGGAAGTGAACAACAGTCCTGTTTCAGCAGAAGCCAATTCTTTTCTGGCTTTGCAACAAGCAGGGCCCGGTCCCTGGCACGGGGCAGAGCAGGAACCTAACATGGCATCCTGGAGGGAGCGGGAGGGATATGCTGTGACATCTGTGGGTTTCTGCCCCCCTGTGAGGCAGCTCTTAGCTCCCAGCTCGCAGCCAGCCAGCAGCCTGCTGCTCTGAGACCTGGAATTTAATTCCGATGTTTTTTGGTGCCTTGTGTGTGCTGTGTAGGACGTGGGGTGACCGGCTTGTTTCCGATTCTCTCAACAGCTGCCCCCTCCCTATGAGCACGCCCTGCGGCACCCTCCAGCTTTCTCAGGAGTGGAAATCGCCTCAGAGGCCGCAGACAGACGCGCTGTGCCAGCCCCCCCCCAGGCCCCGGTCAGCTGCCAAAGCCAGCGGAGCACAGCTGTGTAAGACTTCGTGCTGCCGTGCTTCTTCCTCGCGTCAGTGGCAGAAGTCCTGGGACGTCGTTCCCATCTGAGGGAACAGCCGAACCTCAGACCTTCGCTCCTGTTTCCAGTCAGCTGGTTGGAGGCAGGCGAGTCAGACCCAGCTGTCCTGGACGCCCGTCCCGCAGCACGGAGACAACCGCGGAGCTCCCCCTGACTGCAGTGACCAGGGACGGCTGCTTGCTCTTCCATTTGCCAAACACGAGGCGGTGGATCAGCAGCAGAGCTGCTTTGCTCCGCGTGAGGGGCGAAGCAAAGGTGAAGGTCTGCTCCGTTCCTGCAGGTGGATCATTAGCTCTGAGGGCGCGGCCGGCACTGCCAAGCACACGTGTTTGACCTCTGATGGTCGTGCTGTGCCACTTCATCTATTGCTCAGGAGACAAAACTGTTTATCGGCGTATCAGATTCCCAATGGCAATCCTGACCTGCTAGTGAGAACGAATCTGCATCGGAGCGCTGCTGCGCGCTCTCAGGGCAGCAGTTTGTATGAACTTCAGATGTGCAGAAACTCGAGGTTGAAGGGATCGTGTCACTGGCAGTGCTGTGTGCAAACGCAGAGCGCCGAGACAGCGGCACAGCTGGGCGTGCAAAAGGGCAGCAGAGTGGGCAAAACGGCCGGCAGCCTCCAAGGGGAATGTGAAGCAAAGGTGGAAATGCACTTCTGGTGCATCTTACCTTGTCTTCTTTTGAGGAGAAGACAATCTATTAATGTCACTACACTACCAATTTTGAGAACCTGTTTTCTACTGTAAAGCCTAAGCTTCAAATTGTTTACAAACCTGTAGATAAAATGAGAACAGTTTGGCTATGAGGCATCCAGGCTTCTTTCTTTCAAGTAACATAAGCAATCATGGAATGACTCAGGAAAGACGAGAACAAAAGTCTTCTGGATTATGGCTTTATGAGACACCTCCAGCTGCTGAGTTTCAAATACCATCCCAGACTTGCGCCTCTTAACAGGCACTCTAAAATCAGTCACCAATTAGCTTTAAGAGCACAGAATTGCCTCACATGGTTGTAAACGGAATGCTTCTGGGCATTTGAGTTAATCAGTGAAGTGAGTTAGATACCAGCAAAAATCTAGCTTTGTGGGATGCAGTTAGATACAGCTGGAAAGGAATCTCTCCTTTTCTGTAATGTCTTGGAGCTAAGAAACAAATATAGCAGCAGTGACTAAAAATGAATAAAAATAGATGGAATTATTAGTAGGACAAGTGTTGTCACAAAGGTGATTCTAGATAGAACTAATTCAGTGGAACAATGGAACAGGTTCTCCAGGGGAAGGAGAGCTGCTGAAGGAACACAGGTAACATTCTGTGAACAGTCAAGACCCTCAAGAAGTCCAGTGCATTTATTGAACACTTACAGTGGCCAGCAGATGATTCCAATGCCCAAACACCTACTGCATGTGCTCTGGGAGCAAGAGAGCAAAGCACAGCTCATTTCAGAGCACGGTTTTCTTGTCCTCCTCAGACAGCAGTCCAGCTGTAGCGCTCTGTCCCAGCCGCTTCCTCCCATCCGCTCCTGTGTCACACGGGAGACTCAGAGCATGGTGACCAGCTTAAAGCTTCCTACTTTCGTGGTAGGGATAACACTGATGAAGGTTTTATAAAGAATCGCTCCTTTGGGCAGAGAGCAGATCACCTCCCTGCTCTCGCTGCTGCGGGGGGGGGGCACATAGACCTCTTTAGTGTATCTCACAATCCCGTCCTCCAGGGCGTAGAGCGTCTTGTTCCGGCCCATCCCCACCTGGAAAAGAGCCAGATGGCCTTAGAAAGGAAAGGCTGGAGGTCTTTCACTACAGCGGGCCAGGGCATCTGTCTGTGTTGTTTGATACCCGGCTTCAGCAGCATCTGCTGCTCCACGTTTTAAAACACAAGGTGTGTGACTTACGTGAGCCCCTGGATGCCAGCGTATCAATCGCTGAGTAGCCAGAATGTTGCCTGCATGCACAAATGCACCTGCAACAGAATGGCAGAGTCAGACTGCAGAGAAATGGAGCCCCTTGGAGCCCCAAGGCTGGCAGAAGAACAAACGGTTCCAGGACTTTAAGAGCTTTCTGTGGGAATTTTCTATGGAAAAACTGAAACGCAAAAAGCATCGAAATGAAAATGCTGTTAGGAAATAGAGAGCAATTGATAAACAGTGGGAAAAAAGCAATTTTGGTCTTTGAGGAGATTGCTTCTAGAGCACAAGGCATTTTGTACTTGCTGAAGGCATTTGTTATATTACCTTTAACACTGATATGTTTTCATGAACAAACTCTCTAATTATTAAGCACTGAGCTGCAAGAATCTGTACTTTGGCTTCCTCTTCACATCATAATTCTACATCTAAAACAACCAACTTCTTAACGCAGAGCAGAGGGAAAGGACACTTCAGTTATCAGCTGTCCCACAGGGTACCTTCCTCCTGGACTCCGCAGGGAGGCAAAGTACCAGAGTACATTTTCCATAGGCAGTTTTGTCTGGCCGCTCGCAGTCCTGCTGGCAGGGAGGGCTGACTCACCGCGCCCTCCTGCTGCCACCCCTGCCCAGGGGACGCGAGTTTCTGCTGAACTTCCTGTTTCCTTTCTCTTGGAAAAATGCCCCAGCCGCCTCCTACCGAAACGCTCCACAATCAGCCCAGCTGGCAGGGGATACCTGGGGAAAACCCCGTGGGTGCCAATACGGCTCAGCAGACATCTCACCTACCTTCTAACTTTTTCACTCCGTAGCGCTTCCCGGGGCTGCGACCACCCAGATTTTTTGAGCTGCCCCCCGATTTCTTAGAAGCGCATCTGACAGCAGCCAGGCTCGTTTGTGGAACGGACAGAACTAGATTTGGAACAAGAACAACAGCAACAAAACAGCTGAAAAATATGTAAGTTAAGGTGTTGTTTTTTTTCTTTCCCGATTTAGAGGATGTCAGTTAACGGCTTTAAAGGTAAACAAAAGCCCTGAGGAAAAGAAATCCCTGGGCAAATTGTTGTTCAACCACTAAATCCTCTGCAAATAGGCTGCATCTCAAGGGCTGAGGAGAAGAAAGCAAGAAGAAAGCAACCAGTACTGATAAAGCAAAATGCGGAGACGCCACTTTAGGACGATACACAGGCATAATTACTCCCTGAGCACAAACCCTGGGGCTACAACCAGCACAAGTCCAGGGAAATGGGAACCTTTGTTACGGCCCGGATGGCGTCTGCCGCCACCACGACATCGCTGCCTGCAAACTCCTTCCCGCAGACAAACGGCGCCGTCTGAGCGCAGCGCCCCGCGCCGTTCGGCCCAACGCAGCCCAGCGTTTTTTCCCAGCGATGCCCTTTAACCACAGAGCGGCCTCAGAGAGCGCAAACCGGGAACCGTCCGGCACGGCTTCCCGCAGGCCGTCCTGTGCTTCAGAGCGAGCCGGGCCTCAAATCCGCTCCACTTCAGCGATCCCACAGACCCTCACCGCCCCGCCGCGCCTCCCGCACCGCCTCTCACTCACACAGCCGTCCCCAGGCCGCCATCTTCCGGCGCCGCCTCACTTCTCCTTCCGGAGCAGCAGGAGGAGATTCGTCCGAACGCACACGCGCTCACGCGTGCGGACCAATCGCCTCTCGCCGCAGGCGCATGCGCTCGGGATCCGGCCATTCACCGCCCAGCGCGCCAAACGCCCGCCCGCTGTTTTACCCTCAACGGCCGCTTCTGGAGGCGTAGGAAATGGCGGGAGCTGAGGGTGATGATGAGGAGCTGCCAGCCTTCACTGCTCTGCTGCAGCCGCTGCCGGCAGCCGGCGGGCCGGCCCTTCTGAGGGCGTCGTTTCCCCCTCTGAGGCGAGGGAGCGGCGTTGTGATGCTGAGCAGTGACAGCGAGGATGAGATAGAGATCGTTCCCCTGTCTGAGAGGGTCAGCAGGAGGCTGCCGCCCAGCGGGTCGATGCAGAGCGCTGCGGGTCCGGGGCTTCTGCCGGCGGGTGGCGGGGCTGCGGCTGAGCGGGACGGCCGTCCTCACGGCGGTGAGCGGCTGGCGGCTGGCCGCAGGGAACGGACTGTGCCAACAGCCGCGCTGTTACCCGAGGGAGGACCGTCCGTCAGCCCCCCCGGCTCTGGGGGGCCGGCGATCCCTCCGGCTGCCCCTGTGCGTGAGCGTACGGCCCGGCCTGGGGGGCCTCTGGAAAGTGGAGAAAACGCAGAAGCTTCTCCTCCGAAGAAGAAGCCGAAGTACGGCCGGGAGGAAGGGCAGGCGATTTGCCAGGCGGCCTGGAAGAGGAGGAAGGACCGGGAAGCGAGGAAAAGGCGGCAGGAGGAAGAAAGAGAAAGAAAGAAGAACCTCGCCAAAGTGCTGAGAGCTCAGCGGCCGGGGGAGTGCCGGAAATACATCGCTGTGGTGCTGGATCCAGGTACTGCTTGCAGCCTGCGCTGGCCTCGCAGCAGCTCTGGCCGTGGGATCCTGACCCGTGTGCCAATCTCAGTTCTCTTGCAGGTTGAAGGTGGGGTGCAGATCCGCGCTGCTTTGCAGTCTGCAAATTATTCCTGCGTGGTGGAGAGCCAGGCTGTTCCCTGCAGCATTACCTGGAGGAGGAAGTCAGTGTTATCTCAGGTGTGGGGACAAAATCTTGACCATCTTGCCCTTTTCTTCCCACGTTGTTTGCACTTGATAGTAATTGTTTTTAGCATCCCAAGCAAACATTCCTCTAACCTTCTTCCTACCTCAGATTGAGAACACTGGTTTGATTTTGAATTGTAAACAGGCCGTTGGTCTGGCTGTTTGTTTTTGTGTCTGGGCAGGCTGAGGACAGTAATGAATGGACAGAAGAGCCAAATCTCCTGGTTCTGCTTGGCTTGGAAGAGTTCTTGTCCATGGTTCGTAACTACAAGCAAGTAAGACTGCTTATAACTTTTGTGCTCTCTGAATGTGGCTTTCTGGAGAGGGTGGTATTTGCCATCCCTTTTCATTTGGAAGCTATCTATGGTTTTATTGAATCATAAGTCTGATCTAGACTTGATTAAAAGCACTGAGATTGTCTGAGGCAGAGTTCTGGTAAGCTTTCTTTCCTAGGTACTATTTGTTAGAGGCTTTTTGAGAGGTAACATTGTCTTAGTAGATGCTGTCAGGTCAAGTATGTTGTGGGGCTTTTTTTGTGTGTGTGTTTTGTTATGTTTGTGTTCTTTACTGTAATTTGTTACTAGATCAAGTGCTCTCTGTTTGCACCCGAGAGCTCCAGGAGCAGAACTTCACCTACGCAAAGACTTAGCTGTAACTTCGGGCCATAGGCTGCTGGTCTCATCTGTGCTACTCGGGATGGTTCCATTCTTTTTCCTATTGCTCTTTGCAGGAGGCCCAAGGCTGCACAGAGCAGAAGGAGACCTTACAGAGCTTTGTAGCTCGTGTGATGGAAAAGATGCCTGGGAAAATTCTGGCTCTAACAGTTGTTGAAGTAGAGAAATATTTCAGGTTAGAATTTTTCTCTTCAAATGCGTCAGTGTTGTCCCACTGAAAGAGGCAGTGTTTACATTAATTCCTTCTAGCAAAGACACGTAACAAATTCCCATCTAGAACTGCTCCATATCTGTACGTAGGAGCAGAAACAAAGGTCTGTCTAGCTCATCAGCACAGTGACCAGTGACAGATACCTGTGTGAGTATGAGGGCGGCAGAAATGTTCACAGATACTTTCTTGAAAGGCTTCTGTTGCTCTAAGAATAAATAAATAAATGCCACAGAGGAATTTTCTGTCAGCTGTAATGCTTGTGTACCCAATGGCCTGTCCTGCAGATTCGGTGTCTCTGAGTGCAGGGTGTGGGGGCTGAGGTGCTCTATGCTCCACAGCAGCCTCGCCCTTCAGAATTCCCAATCTGAGCTTCCTCTTCTTAGGTGTCTCAGAGCTCAGTCAAAAAAGAGACTGCAACAGGTAACAGCAAATGGGAGCCAGGCAGAAGACAGGGGAGGCCAGAGGCAGAAACGGGTTAAGGATCCTGGCCTGGAGATCAGCAGACTGGATGTGGAAGACGTGAGTAGAACAGGCATGCAGTTGTTGTCTTTGTTGTCTGCCTCTGTGTGGACACTTGACCCCGTCACGCGCTTTCTGGGACTGGGATCTTCAGCTTCTGTTGGTTTATGCACAATAAGGAGAGCTCTTTCAGTTCCCCTCTGTTCAGTTAGAAACCAACCCTCTCATGGGCTATCGTACCTTGTTCACCTTGACTCTGGAAGTGAAAAACGAATCTTAGCATTTCCTGAACTCCATGGCCTGACGATGAAGCCAGCTGCTGCCGCCCAGGAGCAGTTGCTGCATGTTGCAGGAATCTCCCAGCTGATATGGCACTAACTGCTATTGGACAGCAGGAAACAAAGTGCCTCCGAACGCTTTGTGTTCAGCTGTTTGCAAAATGGGGAGGGAATGGGTGTTCCTGACTTACACCAGGATGTTAGGACTGGTTTTTTGTTTTTCTTTCAGTCATGAATGGAGTTTGATGTAAGAATGTGAGTTGTTCCATTTGTTGTTTCAATGACCTTTACAGGCCTTGGTGGATTTGCAACTCTGCACACGTGTCCAAGTCACTTTTTTTGAGAGCTGGGAGGAACTCGGAGAGTTTGCCACCATGTTTACAAAAGCTGTAGCTGAAGCTCCGTTCAAGTGAGTAAGCAGGCGATTTTGGTTACGTTTTCTTTGGAGAGGCTTTGCTTTCAGGCTTGCTGGGGGGAATAGCGGGGTGAAGGCAGACTTTGATTTCAAGTTGTCTCACTTGGCATTAAGTCAAGGTCTTGTTCTCCCAGCTACAGGATGGTTCCTTTTTCAATAGAAAATGTTGGCCTGCATGTAGGAAACTGATGTAGAGAAAGCAGGGTCACCTTTTTAGCATGCTGATGCCACTGGTGTCTTTAGCAGCGCAGCACGAGAGGTGGCTCTCTGGCTGTGTGGTAACAGGTACAGGAATTGGAATTTTGGGGGGGTCACTTGCTTTCTCATCCTTTATCCACAGACGAGAGCAGCAGAATACAGGATTCTCTTTCTACTTAGAGAACAAGTGGTGCAGAGGCGTGAAAGTGGATCCTTCTGGAAAGGGCCTCTTTGAAGTTTGGAAGAGGCAGATCCAACAGTTTAACCGGGTCAGTGGGGAGATGGCTGAGGCTGTTGTGTCTGCGTACCCTTCTCCTCAGCTGCTGGTCCAGGTAAGGATGCCTCCTGCGTCCCGAGGGCTGCGTGCAAACAGCTGCTGTGGGGATGGTAGGAATAATTTACCTTTGCGTTAGCTTTGACACAAGGATTCTGCGTGAAGTGTTTAGGAAGGTGGTGAACAAACTCAATTCCTTGGCACACGCTGCTTCAGCTTTACGGAGCAGACTGCTGACCAGCCTGTGTGAGAGCTTCCCCTTGGAGAGAAAGGCCAAAGGAATTGCCAGTGACACCACAGTAACGAGGCCCTGCTTTGCTCGTCCTGCCTGCGCAGTGTCGCACCTCGCAGTGTCCGTTCTCCTGTTCTGTCTGGGCAGCTTGGGGTCTGTCTGCCTCCAAACCCGTAATGAGATCTGGAGTGAGACCAGGGGAAAAATGAGTTTTATTGTGAGAGTGCAGAGCTGTCGCAGGCGTGTGGGGTTTATTTACTGAGTTATCTTTGAGCGGTGGATGAGATGATGCCGTTCCTCTGTGCTGCTCGCAGGCCTACAGCAGGTGCTCCTCAGAGCAGGAGCGGCAGAACATGCTGGCTGCCCTCCCTGTGCGCCGCGGCACCGGGGTGACGGCAACCTGCCGCCGCGTCGGGCCCGAGCTGTCCAGGAGGATCTGTGTGCAGATGACTTCCCACGACCCTGATCTGTGCCTGGATGTCTCTGGATAGCCCAGATGAGCAAAGATCCTATGGTCTCTCTGGTTGTATTCATCTTCCTTCTGGGAAAAGGTGCGGAGGTGACAAGTGGGCTCCTGGATCGCAGCTTAAAGGCTTGAAGCACTTTTGGTCTCTATCATTAGAAGGAAATTGGATCCAATTGCTGAATGGCTGGCGTTTACACAGAAAGCTGTGGAATGTCTTCCATGAAGTATGAACTGGACATGCCTTACGGCACTGGTGGTGCTTTTGTTATTTGTCAAGAGTTCTTCCAAGGGAATAAATCACTTTCTGTAATAACATCAGTTATTTCTTAACACACTTCCTTGGACAGGTACAACTTCCAGAGGTCCCTTCCGGGCCTCGAGCTGTTCTGTAATCCTGGTGTGTCTTCTTGGATGTTTTCCACTGGTATCCAAACTACAAGTAGATACCTTCTCTTTCTTCAGTGTGAGAAATGGTGCTGCTCGGTGCGGTGCTGCCCCCAGCACCTGCTCTGCTGAGGGAGAAGAACTTTACCTCCCAAAGACATTTTGTTGTTTTCTGCTGTGCCAGATGGGAATGAGTAAGACTAATTTTCGGATTTAAATTTAGACTGCCCTGATTCAGTCCACAGACAGCTTAATCTATAGAGGGTCTTGAAATCTGATTATATGTGCTGGAATTATGAGGTCTAAACAGTTGGCAGAAAGAGCTTTCTTTTGATTAGGTTGGGGAACACGCTTTCCTGCCCACAAAGCCATCGGCACTGGTGAGCACACGAGGACAGTTGAGGCTTTTTGCTCCAGAGGCACTTACTGAAATAAGTGCTGAGTATGAATTGAACTGCACTCCATGCATGGAAGTTGCCTTTTGGAGGAACGCCACCTCAAATGGGAAAAACACCCATGAGCTGCAGTGGCTTCGCGCACAGCGGGTGCCTCGGCGTGGCCAGTGGGTGCTGCTGACTGAAACTGACAGATCTTATCAGCCTTGCATTTGCTGCCTTAAGCAGGACTCTCCTAGATGGTAGAGCTGCAGGTTGCTGCCGGGTGCTGACAGGCAGGTGTTGCTTTGGGTGTTGTCTGCTGTATTTCTGGACGGTAAGCAATGTTAAAGACTAGGAGTTAGAAACAAAACCTAAAGCTGTTTTGAGGAAGTGTAGAAAACGTGCAATATACTGCTGTGTCAGAGGGATGGGAAGCTGCTCTCTCCTTTTATTTTGAATCCATGCTGTTGATTTCTTCTGAAAGGTAATGAGAGAACTACAGGTGTATCATAAAGCTATGGGAAGGTGAAAGCTTCTGTTTCACTTATGACCTTGGTCATACGAAATGGCATAACTGACTTCTTTGTAGCAGTGCAGTAACAGTGGAACAGAGGAGTTGCCATTCCTCGTGTCAGTGTAATGATGCAATCGTTCCAGTACTGCAAAAGAAGGAGCACATCAGGTGCCTAACAAAGCTGTGTCTCTGTGGAGGCTGTAGCATGGCTATTCTGAAAGCTGCGCTGCATCATTACATTTACACTTCACTTTCTTTTACAATCAGAAACCCTGTAGGGATATGACACACTTGTTTGGTTTTCCTTGGTGTGGAGATTATTTGAACTACTCTGCCTTTACATAGCCGAGTCTTCTTTAGCACTGTGCCAAACTCCCAGCCTTTGCAGGTCCCATGGTGAAGTCTGGGCCAGGCTTTGTGCTGCTGCAGCAGTGCCACCCAGCGCCGCGTGCTGCAGCCAGCCGCAGCAGCTCCTGCCTGTGTCACCTCCCCCTGCACTCACAGTCTGACAAGACTGCAGGCTGGCAAGAAGCCCTTGTTGAGCTGTAGCTCCTTTGCTGCTCCTAGCTGGCTGCAACGAGTGATCGCTGTGTGCGGTCAGAAAGGGGTGTTGCTGCTCTAGGGTGTGTAACAGCTCTGTCCTGAGGTGACAACAAACACTTCAGACACATTGATGCGAAAAATGTTGTATTGAAAATTTTCAGTTTCTTTCAATAGTACATCAGCTCCTTCACTCCAACACACACAGATGCACAGCCATTCCACACGTCATTGGTCCTGGAGCAGGCCTACCTATGTTACTCCCATACAGCCACGTCATCAATTTTAGCACTAACAGAAACGAGAGCAAGAACTGGATACGTATTAAAAAAATCTTACACCTGCATTACAGAGCGACAACTACCTGGTAACTGAAAGCCGCTTTTTCCCCACTCCTGTGAAGTGACATCTGTCTGTCTTAGGAGCTAGCTGTGGATCCCTCGAGCAAGGAGCATTGAGTTAACGCAGGCAGGTGATGGCAGCGGCCGGCCGACAGAAGCGCGCAGCAGCGATGGTCCGACAGTAACTACTGTGCGTGGAGAGGACCAGCAAATCAACGCTGACGGTAAAAAGCATTTCATCAGAACACAATTCCATAGGAATTCCGGCTGCGTGGATGGTGAAAGGAGGTGCTGACAAAGCGCCCATCCAGGACAATCACTGCTGCGAGTTCTGCTGCAGCACGTTTTGCAGGGTTTTGTGGCTCTGCACGGCAGCAACTACATCTTCGTAGAGAGCGCTCACGCTGACGCACAGCGGTTGGTGTTGCAGCTCTGTCAGTCTGCAGACAGCCACGGTGCCGAGGATGCAGAGCAGCAGCAGCAGCAGCGCCCTCAGCACCGACCGCGACCACGAGTGCTTGTGCCGCGCTGGGGGAGGGGCGCGAGAACTGGAGGCAGGCTCTGCAAGAACAACGTTTGCAAGACAAGGGAGGAATTATTCAGGCATCCTTACCTGCGCCGTGCTCAGATAATGCGCTTTCCAGCCTGTGCTGTGCTCCTGTTTTCTCAAAGAACTCTCCTCATTTAACTACGGTCACTTTAGGAGAAGAGCATGAGGTTCACTTTCGTGGGCATAAGTGAAAAAGGAGCAGAGCATCTGTGTGTTGCACAAGATCTGTTTTTAAACCTATAGTTCAGTACAGTAAGATTAAATGGAGAAGTTTTTAGGAGCACTCGGAGCACTTTACGAAACTTGTAGCTCAGCAGTTCATCAGGAACCCAGATGTTAAATCACTGTTTTACTTGCCTACAGCTGCCTGTCTGTAAGGCTTCTGTAAGCTCTGCTGCTGTGCTGCTTCCCCCACTCCTGGTCTCTCAGCACCTAGGCTGCATAAATGCAGATCTGGCACTATCAGACCTACAGTGCAGGTTAAGCACGACGCAGTTCTGAGGCAGTGCTCCCGTTCACTCTTTCCCACAAGGCACTCGTTAAAATGCACTTGCCCTGAGCTCACTGTGGATACCACTTACTTCGGGTCTGCGCAGTTTCCTTTTTAGTTTTCTTTTCCACCTCCTGTTTTGCAGCTCTCTGAGCATCGTATTCCCGTCTCCTGCGTTCCTTTTCTTCTGCCTTCTCTCGCTTCCTCAGTTCCCTCTCCTGAGCCTCCCTGGCTCGCTGTTCTGCCTCGCGCTTCTTTTCCATTTCTGGGGATTAATAGCAAGTTTTCCATTTACATAAAGGATTGTCGTTGGCTTCTTCCTTACTGCCTGCTTATCTGTTCCTAGTTGGAACCCCTGGACACAGTCCTGGGCGAGCTGCTCTCAATGCCCCTGCTTGAGGCGGGAGTTGCACCAGATGACCCCCAGATACCTGTTCCAACCTTAGCTATTCTCTGATGCTCTGAAATAACTGTCCTGTGTGTAGTGGTTTGTTCTGGTGGTGGTGGGGTTTTTTCTTTCTTTTATTTATCCTTCATTCTGCTCCCTGGAAGGGTGCAAGACCAAGCTGAATGGGGCTTTGAGCAACCAGGTCCAGTTGGAGGCGTCTCCTGCCTGTGGCAGCGGGGTTGAAACCAGGTGATTCTTAAGGTATCTTCCAACCTAAGCTGTCCTATGATTCTGTCAAGAAGGCAAGAACTAGCACTGTGTCCCAGGTTATCTTTCTCCTTCCAGCCATTCTACCCTGCTCAGAACTCCAATAGTTACAAATATTTGTCTGCTGGCAATCCTTACTGTGGGCAGCATTCAGCAGTGTGAGGACTGTGCTTACCTCGCTCTGCCTGGAGCTTCCGTTGCCTTTCTCGATCCTGCTCAGACTGGATCGCTTTCATGTGCTGCAGTACCTTCAAGGTCCAAGAGAACAAGGTGAGATGGCTGCAGAAGGCTCGTGGCAGGTTAGCTCACAAATGGCTGCAGTGGGTGCGAAGGCAGCCAGGTGGATCTGACCGCTGACCTGAGCCTTCCAGGTACGACTTGGAGAGAACTCTTGCTACACCAATCTTTGCAGTTAAGAAGCAGAGGTCTCTGCTCTAAAATTACATGGAAAAGCGGTGCTAGCAGCTACAGAGGATCACGGAACAGCTTGTTTCATCAGCCTGAACTATTTCACAGCAGCATGGCAAGGCAGTAACAGAAGCGCATATTGTAACTTTTTGCTCCACGAATCCCAGCAGCAACTATTTACATGACCCTATGGTTTCCCAGAGTAGTTCTATGAAGATTTTTATACCCTGGAGTATAACAAAGCCTATGCACGAGTTATTTTGTCTGATTGTGCCTTCAATCCCTTAGCAAAGCAGCATTCAGTCCTCAGTTCTACTGAGAGCGGGACTCCCTGTGTTTTTTCTCTAGCCATGGAAGCAGTAAAATCAGTGCAGAGAACTGCCTGAAGAAACTTTAGAGCTTACTAAGTAAAGAGAGGAAAAAAACATCACCAACAAAGATAAGAAACAAGAATAAAACAGCAGCAGGTTCCTTACCCTGACTGCAGCCTGCTTGCACTGCTTCTCATCCAGGCAGTCTCCGGCTACCTTAGCTAGAACAGGATCCAGGGGATTGTCCTTCAGATCCAGCCACTTCAGGTTCTGCAGGAAGGGGTGGTGAAGGGGGGGCTGTCAGACGGCCGCAAACATCACGACAGACTTGTGGTTATTTAAGAAATCCAAAGCTGAAGCAAAGAGCTGCTTGGTTTTCCCAAGAATGAAATAGGAAGACAAGGGGGGAGCTCAGCGTTCTCAATAAGCGTGAGAGAATTTCCTCTGGGCCATAGTGCAGAGACAGCTGAATTTTGGAAGGACTATCGTCAGGATAGATGCTTCACCAGAGAAATCGACTTGAGAAGGATCACAAGACCCTGGGCTGCGTCCCAAAGCTTTACATAATCGCCCGGCCGCCGGCTTTACCTTGAGCTGCGCGAAGCTGACGGGCAGGGTGACCAAACGGTTGTTGAGGAGGTCCAGGTGCTGCAGGCTGACCAGGCGCCCGAAGTCCACGGGCAGCTGTTGGAGCCGATTTTTACTCAAATCCAGTTTCACCAGGTGTGTCAAACTGCAGAAATCCGACTAAAACACAACCAAAAAGCAGGAAAAGCATTTCAGCACCTTACTGAAGGTCCTCGGCAGGGGCTGTGCCGAGTCTGCACCTGATACAAGCCACAAAACCCCAGCTGCCCACGGAACTGGTGGAGGAGAATCCCCCCACCTCCTTTGCCTCAGAAAAGCGAGGTAGGTAACGGTGGGGCAGACGAGCCGGAGGCGGTGTGCAGAACAACTGAGACAGCTGAACTGCTGCGGCTGCTGAGCCTGCTCGGTATTCAGCCCGGGATCCTTCGGCAGGAGCTTCTGCACTCTGCTCGCCGCAACCCTTTTCTGTCAGCTGCTCTCTGTCCCGCAGCGCTGCCTGCACCGACCCGCCCTGCGCTGCCAGCGGTGCCTTCGGCCGCCGCAGGAGCAAAGAGCCCAGAGCTCCTTCCGACCTCTGGCTGAGCCGGCGGCTGCTGGAGCACCAGGGGTCTCTTCCCGATATTTCCTACCAGCTCTGCTTCATGCTCTCAAAGGCTGTCGCGCATCTTACCGGCAAGGAAACCAGGCTGTTACAGGACAAATCCAGCACTGTTGCTTTTGGAAGCGCAGCCTGAAAGAAAGCAGTCCCGAATGAACGCACGGATACAGTGCGGAAACCTTCGCGAAGGCGCTACTTTTGTATCGTTTCCGCGATATTTTGTATTGTTTCCGCGAAGCTACGTCGTATCTTGACGGGGCCGCAGCCGGGATCTCGCTCTAAGGAGCGAACCCGGGGCCATTCGCGCGGCCGGGCAGCGCCGCTCCGCCGAACGGGTCGTGACGCTCCGCCGCCCGGCTCCGTCCCCGCACGCCGGCTCACCGCGCTGCTGCCCCGAAGCCGGCATCGGCCCGCTGCTCCCGGCCGGCCCCGCACGCTCGGACGCTCACCAGCTCCCTGACCGGCACCTCGCTCAGGCCGCACAGGCTCAAGTCCAGCTCGTTGCCATCCAGCTTGTCCTTCAGGCTGCCCGCCTTGCCGCCGCCCCGCGCCATGGCCGCTCCGCGGACCCCGCGCCGCTCCGCCGCCCCGCCAGCCACTTCCGCGTCCACGTCCGCACCGCGGTGTCGCGCAGCGCCCCCTGGCGGCCCGGAGCGGCGCTGCCGGCCCTGCGAGCGGCAGCGCGCAGCGATCCGCGCCTCCTTGCCTTGGCCGCATCGCACAGAGCCGTGCCGCCGCCGCCGCGCTAGGAGCCCGGATTGTCTTTTGGGAGCTGCAGATGGACCGAGGCGTTCCTCTCTGCGAAGAGAAATTCTACAACTTCTCTTCTGGTCCGGAAGCTCCACCAGCAAAGTGCTCTCCTGTCCCGATCGACCCACGGCCGGAAAAGTCCGAGGAAGAGTTTTTCCTGAGGCAGAGCCGAATTAGTGCTCCCAGTAACGGCACTGCGGTGAGAACGAGCCTTGAGTTTCCAAGCCCCTCCACGCATTGTGACCTACGTGTGCTTACAGAGGCGTCTGTGAGTGCTGCTGCGGCACAGCTGTGCCCGGGGAGCTCCTTGGCTGCTCGGCGCAGTGCCACTGAGCCTCTTCCAGCACGGGGGATCTGCTTACCTTAGATGTAACGGAGATTATTGGAGGTTCTGAGCAAAGGCATGGTAAACAAGGTAAACAAGGATTTGCATCCTAGAAAATACCATGGAAGGTACCTAAGGTTGGCGTGCTTTCATCCAGGAGGTTACAGGAATTTGGTAAAGCAGGTTGTTGCGCCTCCCAATGGTGAGCTGAAATGGCAGAGCCCTGTTTGGAGAAAAGCGAGGTCCGGTTGTGCAAAGCTCGTCCTTTTTGCAGCGAGGTTCAGAGGGCAATGAAGGGCAAATCTGTGGAGAGGAGAGGAGAGGAGAGGAGAGGAGAGGAGAGGAGAGGAGAGGAGAGGAGAGGAGAGGAGAGGAGGTCTGACTCCTCTTTTTTTTTTTTTCTTTTTTTTTTTTTTTTGTATCAAAGACACTGATTTTTTTTCTCTGTGGTTATACGACACTGAGCGCACGCTGATGCTCCTGCAGTACAGATACAGATAATTGCACTGTGTTTTGCTGCAGCAGTGACTCCCGGCCATGAGCGCCATACAGCCTTACATCACCTATGGAAATGCACAAACTCACCTACCTGCTCACCAGTTTTTCACATTTCAAAGACAAGGTTTTCCTTCCTCCAACCAAATAAATCAGCACCACTACTGCCACCAAACAAGCTCCTTGTGCTTCACGAGCAATGCACACTGAGAGAAATCCAACATCTACTTCTGAAGCCAACCTTCCCAAACACGAGATTTGGTTGTGGGCAGCATTTCATTACGTGGTTGTGTTATGAGCATATTTTGTGGCTCTGATATCTAAGATTCACTGCCGCCAGTATTGATGCCCTTGTTCATAAGCTCTGTTGCACTCGACACGGTGAGCGAGCCTTGGAGCATCTCCCATTGCTGAACTCTGGCGTCCACCTGGGCGGAGGGAAAACCAGAAGTGGGGTTGCAAAATGACTGCCAGCGATTGTCCTGCAGGTCAGTGGCTGAGTGAGAATCAGGCCACTCTCAGCCCACCCCGGTGGTTAATGTCTGTGTGATGTTTGAGACGCGGGTTGTCCTCTGGAACCAAATTTATACCCCAGCCTCCAGCAGTGCCCGGAGAGTCTGTCAATCATTTGCCACAAGGAATGCCACACGTGTCAGCCCTTCTGCACCAGTCAGTGCCGCTGTGCGCTGCGGGGCTCCCCTGGGTGCTGCCTCTGCCGCTCCTCGCTGCTCTGTTTGATGTGACGGGGTACAGACAGCCAGAGTGCTGAAAGCCGTTAGCGAAGTGGTAACTGCGATAATTCATTAAGTGGATAAGGCTAGAAATTAATTAGTGACTCACAGGGCTCGGACGGATGCAGAAAAACAGGCAAGCAGCGCCGGTTGCCTTGGCAGAGTCAATTTCAGCCCTCGTACCAAATTCCCTGTCAGCCAAGGCTCGGGGTTTGCGTGAGGGTTTCGGGGCGGCTGCGGCAAAGCGCAAAGCGGCCGCTGGGACAGAGCGGAGGGACGGAGCTGCAGGGCAGGGAGCTGGGAAGAGAAGCGAGCAGGGCGACTGGGCTCAGAGCCGTCAGCAGCGTGCCGTGGCCAGGAAGCAAAGGGGATCCCGGGAAGCCGCGGCCGTGCCCTGGGACGCGCGGCATCCCGCCCGCTGCTCCAGCGGGGCCCCCACGCGCAGAAGATGCTTTGAGACCCGCTCCACACGGCAGAGCGGATGGCGGTTAGCAGGGCTCCCGGCTCCCAAACCCCGTCCTCCCTCCAGGGCCGGGCCGTTGCGGTGCGAAGCCGGCCAAGCCCTGCCCTGCCCTGCCCTCCCCGGGGCCGGGCGAGGCCAAGCCGGGGCTGAGGAGGGCCGGGCCGGGCCGCGCACCGCCCCCGCCGGAGCTGCGTACGGAGCGGAGCGGGAAGGCGGCCCGGCCCCCCCGGTTCTGCCGTCGCCGCACTCATGGCCACCGCCGCGCTGCTCGCTGCTCTGCCCCGCCGAGGGCTGCTCCGCCTGAGCGCGCGGTACGGACGGGGCCGGGGGGCTGCAGGGGCCGGGAGCAAAGTGACGGGGGATCGAGGGGACGGGGCACCGCGGGGCAGCGTGTTGTTGGGGCAAGAGGGCAGCTGTGCGGGGCTGAAGGGGGCAGAGGGATGGGGGTGTTGAGCCAGGCGGTGGCTGCGGTGCAGAGGGGCCGGGTTCGGCTCAGGGGTGCTGGAGGTGCGTCGCCGTACTTTGGCTCCCCGGTACCCCCTGAAGCAGCGGCAGCAGCAGACAGGCGACCTCCCCCAGAGGAGGGACAGCGGAGGAACGCGTGCGCCCGGGGCTGAACTTTCTTTGTGCAGCGGCTCCATCCGACTGCTGTAACGAGCAACATACAGACGAGCTTCTTTCTCCTCCCCGCTCGGCGCTCCGGCTCGCGGCCGTGCCCGTCGGTGTCCCTGTGCCACTGTTGTTCTTACGGCCGTGCAGAGGAGCTCTGCAGCTGGCCGGTTCTCGCTTTTGTTCGAGCTGCCTTTTGGAGCAAACTCCTGCGAAAAACGGGAAAGCAATTGGCTTTGAGAGATGCTTGGAAGAATTAGCTGAAATTCGGACTCTAATCCTACCCGGGTGACTTCCGGGAAGTAGCTCGGCAGGGTTCACAGTCGGAGTGCAGGTAATGCTTTTCAGCTGGGCTCTGATGGGGAGACAACCATCTCAACGTCTGCTCTTAAGAAACAGGACGGGAGGGAAACGACACAGAACGTTTATTGCATTTTGGACGCAGCCCAGCATTCCATGTGAAGCTGGGTGGCGGAACAGTGACTCACAAAGCCTATTTATAAGAATAAACTCCTTCTAGTAATGAAGACTTATTAAGTTCTGCTCCTAATTGCACAGTGCTTGTCCTTTGGGCAGAACGAGTGCAGAGGGAAAAGCACACGGGACACCACTGCCAGTCTGCTGGAATTGAAACCTGAGGGCTCTGGGAAAACTCTGGAGATCACCATTGCTCTAACTAAAGTAAACAAACAAAAAGTAATCAAAAGGTGATTAACTCTGCAGCCAGCAGGGTTGTGTTGAAGGGCAAGAAGGTAAAGACGGTGCAGAGCCGTGCTAGCTCACCATTCTTTCCTTGCAGTTGTTTTACATAAAAGACCCCGAACTTGTTGCTTTGGGGAGGTGATCATAATGGATTTCCATGAATGAGAAGCTGGATGTGGAGTCCTTGAGCTTCCCCAAATCTGAGCTCCGTAGCCGGGATCAGTTCTGACCCCGTGAGGAGGGGGAGCAGCAGCAGTCAGCCAGCAGCCCGCACTGCTGCAGGGCAGCTCTGCCACTGCAGGGGATGAGGGGTCACACCTCCCTTCTCAGGGTAATTTCTGCAGAGATGGAAAAAGAAACCGGTTATCTTGTGTCAGCAGCTGTAAAACGTTGGTCAGGTTAATCACACACAGCTCCTGGGGTTGATTGAGGCTGCTTTATAAGCTTTGATGGGCGCTTTATGGGCTGGCTGCGATCCATCTGCCGACCTTGCATCCACATGAGAGGAGGAGGAAGCTCTTTCCCCCACGCCCCAGCGTTTCTCTGTGCAGTTTTGCTGCTGAGGTCGCTGCCATGCAGGAGCAGCATGGTGGTGAGGCTGGCTCGTTTGCAGGCACTGCTGGCTGCTTTGCTGCCGGAATGCATTGCTAAAAGAAGACGTGTGCTCTCAAAGTTTATTGGTGAAACCCAAGAGGAGTTTTGTTTGCCTTCTGCCATCTGAGGCAGGGAAAGGAGAGCTGCCACCAGATCAAATCCTGATTTGTTTTACCTCCAGCTGTGCCACAGGAGGAGGCGGAGGGTGAATTATTTGTCTTCTACAGCAAACACTGAAGAAAATACATAAATCCCTCGGACCCATTCTGTTTAAACATTCTCTCTCTTCAAATGCCCTTTGCAATCACGCTCCTGCTGGCTGTTGGCTCTGGGCAGGAGGAGGCAGGCTGCTGTCAGCATGGTGCTGCTGATCCTTCCACGTGATGCATCTGCCTTGTTCCTTCTGTTCTGGGCTCCCTGTGCTTCCAGAGTGCTGTTTTACTTTGGCCCACACCTTTTGCTTTTTGCTATGGCCAAGAAATAAGTGGTCCAGGAGTGCCAAAGCATTTCCAGAGATCAGATTTGAATTCGAGGAGCTCGAACCAGATGAAAGCTGTGAGTTTTGCTCCCTTGGTGTTCCTGAAGAGAAGCATTTTGAGACCCGGTGGTGATTCTGGGCTATGAGTGTGAGCTGTTTCAGACCCGGATTTCAAGGCTGCAGGTGTTTTTGGTGCAGGGTGGGGGCCTGGAGGCAGCTGTGTGTGCTTCCACACTGCAAGGGCATCGCCACTGAAGCACTTCAGAGCGCAGAGTTCTGTAAAGAAATACTTTGCAGTTCTTTGACATTCTTTCATCCCCACGTTTGGGACAGGGAGGGAGATGGAGCCGTGAAAACTGGAGGAAGGAGGAGCTGCCGTTTTGCTCGGGCTTTGTGTGTTAAGGAGTGAGGATCCGGCCCAGAGCCTTTCTGCACGGGAGGATTTCTGGGGACCACGTGAGGAACTTTCAGTGTTCTCAGATTGAAAACAAACCCTCGTGCCGGGGCCATGGGGCTCTGCCCCCCTGAGACCCTTTGCCCCCTCAGCAGGGAGGAACTGGGGGTGTGAGCTGAGGTTCTGCTCTGCCTGCTGTGTCGCCCCTTTGCTGGCAGCTGTGCAGGGCTGTGCGAGCAGCTCAGAGGACGTCAAAGGATACTGCAGAAAGCATAACGATCAGACTATCGGCTGCGGGGTCTGGATTTCAATTGAACGTTCCCTTCCTTCTTCTTTCTGCTTCTTGTATTGTCAGCCCCGTGCTGCGGGAACACGCGAGACCAAATGTGTTTTTTGGCCAGTTGTAACGCTTCCCTTGGGTCGAGTCCCCAGAGGAGCGCAGTCGATGAAAGCCTTCTGCTGCCCCCAGCACAGCACAGCGCCTGCTGGGCTCCGGTGAGCCGAGGTGCACGAGGTGAAAGTGCTGTTGCACAAGAGGTGGCTCTGCTCGCTGACCCCGGCTCACTTTGCCCGGCCGTCCGAGGGAGCTCAGCGCCGAGCGGCGCCTGTTCCCCGTGCAGCCGGTGGGGAAATGTGGGGCGTCACCATAGAGATGGGCTCTGCTTCCACTGGAACTGGAGGTGATTTGGCTGCAGAGATGTGAGCGCGGCGGCCTCCGCTGATCGCTGCGAACAGCTTGTGGCTTCCTGCTGTGGCAGCGTGAGGTACGGGAGGGGCTTTCCTAAAGCTGCCCTGCAGCAATGTGACGATGGCTCAGAATGGCGAGACTGCCGTGCTTTTTATTGCCTGCCTAAAAGCACTCTTCTGTGGATTAGGGAGAGCTTTTTCAGCTCTTATCAAAGGCTTTTCTTCTGCGGAGCTTCCTTTCATCTCCTGGTCTTTATACGTGTCCACCCCAGGAGCTTTGAAACAAAAGATAATTCTCCTTACTGCTCGTTCGGTTACATCCTCCCGCCTCCTCCTGGGGCAGCCCCTGCAGCCGCGGTGTGAGCTGCTGTGCAGAGCTGTGAGAAGGGAAAGCCTGACCCGAGCGGAGCTGCCGTTGCTGACGAGGAGTGAGGGAGGAGGGTCGGGCTGTGCTGCTCTGCTCCCAAAGGCAGCGGCTCGACTTGTGCCAGGCGGGGGGCAGAGTCCCGTCTCGCAGAGGAAGTAACGCCGTGCTGATGTTGTTCCTCACGGGCAGGAAAGCAGGTTCTCAGCAATTAGCACAAAGGCTTTGCAGAGCGTTGATCCCGTAATGAATGGGTAATGAATGGGTAAAATTTGATTTCAGGGTCATCTGTTGTTTTTTTTTCCTCTGCCCCACATCTGTGAACAAAGGGCAGTGCTTCAGAGCCACGCACCCTGCAAGTGCTGCTTCACCCTGTCCGTCCTAGGAATATCCCAGGACAGGAGTGGAGGAAAGAAGTGAGAAGTGAGGAGAGAGGAACCAGGAGGTGGGAGAGCTGGTGGGGCTGCATCCTGCCTGGCAGGCAGCTGCTGGGCAGAGAAAGGCACCGAGCAGGAGGAGGAGAACAGCAGCGCTGTTCCTTTACAGCTGATCCTTGACAGCTGTGGTTTCAGAGGAAGTTGCCACTTTTCTGCTGAGGGAAGCAGCTGACCATCGGGGAAAGCCTTAGTGATTGTGAAATGCTTTTCACTAGTGCTCTGCCCACAGCTTCTTGCTACTTCCCGTTTCCTCTCCAGTTGGGCCTCCAGTATCATTTCTGTGCTCCTCAAGTACTGCGTGCCACCATTTCTGCCAAGGCCCTTCTCTGCTGAAACGCCTCCCAGGTTGTCCTCCGTGCCGACGTCTGTTTGTTGTGTATCCTCTCTGCTGGCAGCCTGCTTTGCAGGCCCTGCAGCCCCCTCCCCTCACTGCTCTGGTAGCTCCTGGTTTTATTGCTGCCATCTCCAGGACTGCAAACTCTGTGGTTTTGCTCCCGGAGGCAGTAAAGGCCGCGCAGCCCACTTAGTGCTGCACACACAGATCATCGCTCTGCTCGCAGCTCTCGGTTAAAGCTCAACTCCTTTGATCTCTTCTAAGCAGTTTTTATTCTGTGAGACAAGATTGCCTTGTTCTCCACAGATCTTTTTAGAACAGGTTAAAATGACGCAGACTGAGTTTTGTTTAACTTTCTCAGCCATCTCCTCTTCCCAGCAGAAGGAAGCCATTGCAATGAACATCCCTGCAAAACGTTTTCACTGTTTCCCTTCCGCCTCATTTGCACTTTTTAATGTTACGATCTCTCAATAAACTGCCAGGTCCACAATCTCTGCAGATATTTAGAAATGTTTGGAGTGGTTCTCATGCCAGATGAATGAGAGCAGCACAGGGGGCACCGGGCAGCGCATGTTCCTGGGGCTGCTGGGGGCTCCTGCCCTGTGGGTGAGAGGTTTTGGTTTCGGCCCTGTGCTGTGCTTGCACTGCCAGCTGATGTGGGCATCTCCAGGTGGGGCAGCTGCTTTCCAATGCTTTTGGAGGTCCTTTTGATCTTCGGCACCAAAGTGGCTGCCTGTGATTCCCTTTAGTGCACTTAGGTCTTGCTGGAGCTCACAATTCAGTTTCTCATCTCTGTTTCTGGAAGAGGGAAATATCTCACAGTGGCCCTGACCTGTGGAGATAACTGAGGACAAGCATGTTTGTGTCCTAGGATGTTGCCTAACATCTTTCAGGGTGCTGTCTGTTCTTTTGAAAAGGAAGGAGGACAGTACCAGCTCTGATGTTCATCTATCAGGCCTGGCATCGAACCACCTTCCTCACATTTCTGTGGCATGTCACGAGTGCACCGGTCTTAACTCTGCTGTAGTCCTATTTCTGCAGGTGTGGTTTGGGTGAGGTGCTCTGCTTGGTCTGAGCATGGGATGTGCTGGGGATGGCCCTTTGTTCTGGGTTGGGTGATGCTGTGATAGCTGACTGCTGTTTGAGCTGATGCACAGCTAAAGCTCTGCTGGCTTCAGTGGGATGCGCTGCTTGCACCTTACGGGCGTGAGCCACTGGGCCTTGGGAAGGAAAAAAACCACTTCCATGTGATTCAGTTCACTATTTTGTAGTCCTCAGTCAGGGTGGAGCTCGGGGCTGACATCCAAGGCTGGAATAGCACGGCAGAGGTTCAAAGGTGATCCAGAGATCAGCGGGCAAGGCTTGTAACTCTCAGATGGGCACCGCTGGTACTGCAGGCAGATGGGTGATTTTTCCAGACTGGGAGCATGTAATGACTGCCTGTATTACAAAGACACTTTTTTGTAACCAGAGCCCTGAGCTGAACCTGGTGGCTTAGGAATTCTTTGTGTCCTCCGTTACAGCACTAGGAAGTCAGCTGGGTCAGCTGGGCGGCGACCAGCTCAGTGCTGGGGTAATGTAGCACAGCTCCTGAAGCGCAGCTGGGTTTGTGAGAGCAGAGAAAACCTGCTGGCGTCTGTCTCACAGCTTCTTTTCCTTCACAGTGTCCTGCACACGAGGACACTTTCTGCATCCCATAGGGTGACCGACAGCTATGTCCAGGGGACCTTAGACATTCCTCTGATCAACAAAACCGTGGGCCAATGCCTGGATGAGGCAGCGGAGCGGTTTCCCCACCGTGACGCCTTCGTTTTCCACCGAGACGGAGTTCGGAAAACGTTTGCTCAGTTCAAAGGGGAGGTGAGTGTCTGATTCACATCACAGCCCCAGCCGATCCACTGGGACAGCAGCTGGTGTTAATGGGGAACTCCAGCCTGGTTTCATTGGTTAGCTCAGGAGCGAGGGTTGTGCTGTGTGGCTCTGAGCCCGCAGTGACAGCACTGCCAGAGCGAACATCCGCTGTGTGTGCTGCCTTTGTCCTTACAGATCAAAGGGAGAAGACAGCATACATGAAATGATTACTTTATATTCCAAAATGAACTTTCGTACTTAATACATCAGGTGGCAATAATTTCTATAGGCTGAGTCAGGATGTTTCCAGACCTGGAGCAGGCGTTAGCTCTTGTGTTGGTCACGTTGGTCTGACTTTCAACTTTGTTACCTCCAGTGGTTTTGAACTTCAACCCTGACCAAGTACAGAATCCTAAAAACCTGATAGGACGTTTGACAAACATATGCCCTGATCCTGGCCAAGCCAGAGATCTGCTGCTCACCGCACCGTGCTGAGGTCTGGTCTGCACCTATCAGCACCTTCCAGAGGAGGAGGCCTTTGGATCTGGTTCACCTCCTCCACCAGGCTCTGCAGCTGATCCAGCCCCCACAGCAGGCACCACTGCCAAACCACCGGGCTGCCCAGACCAGTATCTGTCACCCCTATATTCAAGAAGCAATGGAAATGGAAGTCATCTTGCTTAGTAAGGAAATGAGCTTGTCCTAAAAGAGGAAATGAAGATGACGAGGATGAGGAAAGCTACTCCGAAGCAGTACCACCACGTGAACAGCCCACCTGGGCTTCCACTCTGTGGAAAGATATCCACTGCCACATAATGTTTATCATCCTCTGGTGCTTGTCTTGCATTTTACAGGTAGACCAAGCAGCAGCTGGACTTCTTGCTCTTGGCCTGAAGAAGGGAGACAGGCTAGGAATGTGGGGTCCCAATAAATATGAGTGGGTTCTCATGCAGTTTGCAACAGCCCAGGCAGGAATCATCCTGGTAAGTGCTGGGGTTTGTATCAGTGCGTTGGGAAAGGAGATGGACACAGCAGTAGCATATGGTGGAGATGAGGTCTGCAGTCTGACTCTCTCCATGCTCGCTCCCAGCACGGTGAGCTGCTAACAAATCAGTTTTAGCAAGATCTGAGCAGCGCCCGCATCTTCTGCCGTGCAGGGAGGCAGGCGGCGGGGCTGTGAGGAAGGAGTGGAAGGGAACGGCCTGCAGGAAAGCGATGGATACAAACAAGGTTGCCCCTAGGTTGGTTCTTATGGGACGTGCAGTTATCCCAAATAGCTGCCAGTTACTGAGATCCCTCCTAAACGTGTCTATATGGCTTCGAGATACAAATGCTCATTCAGAAACCCAGCCCAAGCTGCGTTCCCCTGAAATTCCCCTCAATTTTCACTGATGGTGTGATCTGGTACGTTAACCAAAGCGTGTCCTGTTTATGCAGTGCTCTGTGTAAGGGCTGTAACACATCTAGGATATTTTTTTTCAGCACTGTTCATCCCAGTGTCTGCTAAGGAGCAGTAAGGATGCGTGAGCACAGCTCAGGATGACCCTGAGGGTCAGCTCCGCTTCTGCGCTCAGTGCAGCCGCTGTTGAGAGCCGTACAGGGAAATGCTGATATTCTGCTGGTTGTCTGTTCAGAATGCCAAGGTTCCCTTGAGTTTTGAGTACCTGTGGCTTGGATTTAATGCCTGCCAGGGAGAAAGGAGGACTGTTTTTATTCCTAAAGCTGCTGTGACTGACTCAAGAATCCTTTCCCTTTTCTTTCATGCAAACACAGGGTTCAGATAGCTTTTCTAGGAACGTGAGTTCCTTGTGGTGAGCTCTTGGGTCTGCATCTCAGACAGGAGGGGCTTCGGCTCTCACCTGTCTCTGGGAGAACTTTCTTGGTGGAGTCTGCATTAGGGAAGAGGGTTTCTGGGGTGAGGTTACTCTGATTACCCTTCTTGTTCCTCCTTCTTCAGGTATCTGTGAATCCAGCCTATCAGGCCCGTGAGCTGGAGTTTGTGGTCAGGAAGGTTTGTATGGCACTCGCTGTTAATTCTTCTTGATTTGTTATGAGGAGTCATAAAAGCAGTTTGTTAGAGGGAATAGCAGGGGATGGTACAGAGAGGGGAACTGTTAAACACGTAGGCGTATTAGGAAGAGGCAAGGAGAACTGGCCAGAGAACAGGGCTGGTGGTGGCCATGTGGGAGCAAGGCCACCATGCAGGTTTTTGCATTGTCTGGAAAGAAGTGGGGGATTTCTTGCTGCTAAATGAGATTTATTTTTCTTGCATCAGCAGTCTGGAGTTGGGTTGCTGGGCTGTAGTTTGAGTTCCCATTTCATCCTTCATTTAATCCTCTTACGGTAATATTGCCAGTGTTGCTGCTGTCTCCAGATGTTAAAACTAAATGCCCTGCAGTGAAGCACTTCCCCTCCAGTCTTGGTGCTCTCACCAGGTGGCAACGTAAACCCAAAGCGAATGTGCCAGCTCCTGCCTCCACTGGGACAGGCGACCTGCTGCACCTGTTGGTGTTGGGAACGCTTCATTTCCTGGCCCTGTTCGTGACTTTCGTTCTGCATCTCCCTCCTGAGATGGCACTCCTATCCTTTTTTTCCCAAGGAGACCTGGATTTTGTTTCCCTTTCTGTATTTTTGTGTTAGATTCTGCTCTGATTTTCTCCAGCATAAGCCCAGAGCTGAAGGGGATTCTTTTGGGCTGGGCTTTTTGTTAACACTGGGACTCCTGGCCTGAAACATCAGTGATCCTCTGAGAGCGGGGAACCACAGCTGCAGCTCTGCTTTCTTGCCCAGCAAGAACTGAACCCCCGGCCATGAGAGTGTCGTGCTGCATTTTCACTTTGCAGAGACCTCTTACGTGCTCTTCAGTGACTCTTTAACCTTGTATATGGTGGCTCTTACTGGGGAAGTCTATAAAAAGCTTCAGATTTAGTCTGGAGAGTCAGGATTGTGTGCCTGAACAGAGCAGCATGGAGAACATCCCATGCACAGCCACTGGAGGACCTGTGCCACGTGGGGTCACTGTGTTGTAGGCTCTGCTCTTCTCCATGGCCCGAGCATCACCCCAGTGTGAGATCTGATCAGTTTCTGTCTCCCTTCACAGGTTGGCTGCAAGGCACTGGTCTTTCCTGCTCATTTTAAATCGCAGAAGTACTATGATATTCTAAAGCAGTCATGTCCTGAAGTGGAAAACTCCAGTCCAGGGGGAATAAAGAGCAAAAGGTGAGTTAGGAACACCTGGCAGGTTTCACTGACCAAGCAGCTGTGTTCTGCCCCCTGTCATCTCAGCTGCACGCCGTAGTGGAGGAAGGGGCTGTGCAGAGATCTCCTTATTGAGGACTTCAGGTACTGATGAGAGCACTCTGCAGCCACTTAATGGAGCTGTGCTGGGAGACATCACAACCACTGAGCCTCTCCCCCAGCACTGCCCTGCAGGTGCTGCCTCAGGCCTTCTGCCATTCCACTGACACTGCTGAGATCCCAGACCGGTGATGGACAACACCTCGGAACAGCGGTTTGGTCTTTGCCTGTTGGGGCGTCAGCCATCACTGCCAGCAGTAGAAGGGCTCTTTGTAGAAACAGAGTCCTGAGAGGTGGAAGGTCCTGCACACGATTCTTCCTTATAACACTGATTGCAGATTTGGAGTAAAATTCCTTTGGTGCTTGTACCCTGCGTGAGCTGCTCTAAATGCTTCTCGTTCCTGTGTTACAGGAATGGAGTCTTATCCAAAGCAGACAGGTTAGCCTGTGCAGGAGGTTTATCCTGGCCTCCATACAGCTCTTTGGACAGTTTGCTCCTTGCTCCATTCTTGATGGCACGTTTCCTTCTACCAGGCTACCTGACCTATCTACTGTCATTATGTTGGACTCCAAGCTGCCTGGTACCTTTCACATGGACGAAGTGATGCAGGCTGGGGACAGCAGCCATATGAAGCAGTTAAGAGCCTTGCAGCAGACCCTGTCCTGCAATGAACCGGTCAACATCCAGTTCACTTCAGTAGGTGCTTCTGTTTGCTCCAGGCTTGTGCTTGGGTTCCTCAGAGGGGACGCAGAGAAGACTCTGTTGGATGCTGAGCTTCCTTTGCCTAATGCTCTCTTTGACCAAGCCCTGGTTCTGCCTTTTTCCTTCTCTGCTGCAGAACACAGGAAGTCTTCTAGGGTTTCCCCTTTCTACTTCTTGCTGCTCAACCCTTTATCAAGAATTGCCATGTGAATTTTCCAGCTGTAGCTGAGCCACTTTTTCTGCCTGGTTTGGGACCGAGTGCTGATAAAGGGAAAAAAGTAAAAAATCCCATCTCTCAGGTCAGGGAGGGGAATGAAGAGATGGAGTGTGAGGATTTGAGCCTGGGAGCTTGCCTCAAAGCACGCGTGCCCTCTGCAGAGGTGACCTCATTGCAGAACACCCTTTGCCTTTCAGGGGACAACAGGGAGCCCCAAAGGAGCCACGCTGTCTCACAGAAACATTGTGAACAATGCCAACCTGATCGGGGTGAGGCTGGGGATCACAGAGCAGGTGGGTCCTGCGGGGAGCAGCCTTGGGCTGTGCTCTCAGTGCCGCTGAGACCGAATGTGCAGGGAGCTGCTGCTTGCTGTGCAGGGCAGGGTGCAGGGCAGGGTGCAGGGCAGGGTGCAGGGCAGGGTGCAGGGTTAGTGTGCTGCTGTGCAGGACGCTGCGGGATGCTGGCCCCACAGAGCTGCCGTGCTGGGGTGGGACGTGGGGCTCTGAGGGCTCTGTTCTGCCTTTGCTCCGCCTTCCCTGTGCCTGCAGATGGAAGCACGGCCCTCGCTTTTCCCACGTGGACTTTCACTGAAATTGCAATTTAGATTCATGAGAAGCTTTTGTTGTTTTATTTTTTCTAAAAAGCGTTTCTGTAAGGGGAAAATGGTGAAATGAATGGCTTCTCATCTTGGTGAACACTTATTTCGAACAATTACAGAGCTCTAGATGTTAGCTTTGGATTCTATTGAGTGAGGTTTTAATTTCTTCTACATGACTTCATTTCGTGCCATGTTTACGCTCCTGTTACTCTTTCCAGTATAAGATCTTGTTGATGTTTTCTGGTTTTAGTTCCTCTTAGGAATAATGAAAGGCAAATCCTTTCTTTTGCAGTTCTGCAGTGGCTATTTCTCACAGTATGGCTTTGATTAAAATATATATATAATTTTAAAAAAAGAATTTTTCAATCAGAGCCTTTCGTGATCTTAAAAACAAAATTAATAGCATGCACCAAGTCCTGCATAATTCTGCTGTCTGAAGCAGCGCTGCCCTTCTCTGGTTGGGTATGTTATAATGTAACAGCAATACCCGCCTAGGAAGTGCAGCAAGGAAAAGGCATTGCAAGAATCCAGACTGAAATCTCAATAGGAAAAATGCCGCAAACCAATTGTTAGAAAGGGCGAGAAGCACCAGCGCAGCTTTTAATCTGATGGGAAGAAAGGCGAATTTCAGAATTCCGGCCAGTTCCAGAGGAATCGGCAGAGTTCTGCCGGGGCTCCGGGACGCCCTGCCGCTCACCGCCTGCCTCTGCACCCAGGACCACCGCGTCTGCATCCCCGCGCCCCTCTACCACTGCCTGGCGTCGGTGGGAGGCTGCATGGTGTCGGCGCTGCACGGCTCCTCCTGCATCTTCTCAGCCCCCAGCTTCGAGGGGAAGGCGACGCTGGAGGCGGTGTCTCAAGAGAAGTGAGAGTCGGCGAGTTCTCCCTCCGGGAGCCCGGCGCCCCGCGGCGGAGCTTTCTGCCCTGCCGGGCTGCTGCTCGTGCTTCCTGCCCGCTGCGCAGCGGCAGCTTTGCTGCTCTGTTCTTACAAAGGCTCTTCAGAAGGCACTGCTCTACTTGGGAGCTTGCCGCACATTTTTGCCCCCCGAGGATAAGGGGATGTTGGGTCACTGCAGGGATTTGTCCATCCTGGTTTGTTGCTGCAGGCGTGTTTTACACGTAGCCCCCATCGGTTGCCTCAGCATCTGTCCCTGGTAGCATTTCCAGGTTGTGCTTCACGCGTAACTCGTTGGAAACAAAGGAGTTACAGCTGTGTGTATGTACACGTGCACAGGTGTGCATTTAATGTGTGCATCTGTGTCTGAGCGCTGTGCGGGGCACACGTGATGTGCCCTGAGTGTGACAGAGTGGGGCGCTGGGCTCCAACTCTGCAGCTTTGCCTTTTCTCCCCCTTCTGAAGATGCTCCTTCTTACTCGGCACGCCAACCATGTTCATAGACATGCTCTCCCAGCCGGACTTTGACTCCTACGACCTTTCGACTCTCCGTGGAGGTAAGTCTGGCAACTCAGGCAGAAAAGGGAAAAGCCCGGTGGAATGGCCTCTGCTTCCCTGCTGGGAGGTTGCGTTCAGCTCTGTGTGCAAAAGGCTGCTCTGCAGGGAAATGCTGTGTTGTGTGAGCCGTCAGTTTGGTGCTGCATTTTGTTTCCTTGGGATTTCCTTCCAGAGCTACGTATATTTAGGGCTCTTCTTCCATCCTAAAGCAATCCAAGGGGGGATTTATCTGCCACGGGCCGCCGCCGTGGTAAGCTGGGAAGCCGGATGGTGCTCGGCTCTTCTCATCGCGAGCTACCACGGGGTGGCAGCAGAAGCTCTGTGCTCTGAGCCGGTGCGTCTGTCAGAGCTGTTCGTGGTTTCTCTGCCCAAACTTTCCTGCCTGTTTTTAAAGACACTCGTATGACAACATCTAACACGTGCTGGAGGATTCTCTCTTATCTCAGAGTGCCTCAGCGCAACAGCTGAAGGAGGGAGGCCATCTGCCCTTCTGAGGCAATGGCAGCAGAGAGGAGATGGTGCTGGGGCACAAGGAAACACCTAAGCAGATTTATCAGCTCTGTTATGTGCAAAATGATCCTTGTCTCACCGTGCAGCAAAGCCTACGCATTACTTTGCTTTCTCACTGTCATCCATCCTAGGGCACATCTGAGCAGGTGGGGATGCGAGCTGTCCTCCCCAGAGAGGTGGTCCATGGCAGGAGGAAAGGTTCTTGTTTTTCTGGTGGTGGTGATCTATGGGCGTGTTTGTTCTGCAAAATCTGTGCCTCTTTCTGCTCTCAGTCTTTCCTTTTCTGGAACCGTAGCTTGGACTAAGAATGTGCTAGAGAGTTTATTTTCCTAACAAGTGAACTCTGCCAACCCTTAATTCATTCAGGCAAACTGGTTTTGCTGCAGCCTTTGCTTCTGTATCCGTACAAATAGAAAGTATTTTGACAGGAACCAGTGTATCCCAAAGGTCTCGCCAGCATTTCAGTCTGAGTGTGCAGAACCTTCTGAGGGACTGCTGCTATGAATAAACACGCAGTTTCTGAGACAGCCATCTTCTCCTTTCTCTTGCAGGAATCATTGCAGGTTCCCCTGTTCCCCCCGAGATCATGAAGGTGATTTCAACAAAGATGCACATGCCAGAGATTGTGGTGAGTTGTGGCTGCTGTGCAAAAGCTGCAAGAGCTCTTTGTTGTGGCCAAAGCACGAGATGGGGCACCTCTGGGCAGCAGCCGTGCCAGAGCTGCTGTGGTCAGGTGGTGAACGTGGTGTGAGGCCGGGCTGCGGAGAGGCAGCCGTGGGGCTGGGAGGGAGGGGGGAATTGTGCCTGCTGTGCTCTGGGGCGCCTGGGGAGGCAGCCTGGTGAGAGACACTTCATGGAGAACCAGAGGCCGAACTTCTGTTGGCGTGTTTCAGATTTTGTAAACCCTTCCGTCTCTGCCCGTGCTGCAAGGACGAATGACTTTGGGAGAGGAGTTTGTGGTTCGTTTGGGTGTGGGGGTTGCATTGCTCGCTCTGCTGGGAGGTTTCTTCCTCCGCCCTGGACGGCACGCAGATACAAAATCCCACGCGTGCCGTGTGCCTGAGAGTCTGAACGTGGGAGCGGTTCAGTCCGTGTGGCACCACGCGTTGCTCTGTCAGAACCACAGCCTGTGCTGCAGCGCCTTTTCTGCGCCGTCGCATTTCCACGCACCCCCCTGTGGGGCCATCGGCCCGTGGGGCGCTGGGGCCTGGGACGTTTCACTGGTGGGTCTGAAGGCGTGCGCTGTGTCGCCCGTGCCCCCGCTTTGTGTTTGAGTCCGATTTCACTCTATCTCAGGTACTGTGCAGCATTGCCTCGGAGTGGTTTGTGCCTGTGAGGGAATGAGCCAAAAAAAAGCCTTTTTGTTTTACTTCAACAGAAACAAATTTCGCCTCGGTGCCGCATTGCTTGCAAACGCTGAGGAAGTGCACTGTTGTGATGGATGAGCACATGAGTCAGGTTAGGCTGTTATTATTGGCAGACCCAGACCTTGCCAGGACTGGGACATTTATAGGGATGACTGCATGCTCTGGAAAGGACTGGGAGAGTCCAGGGCATCTGTCCTGAGCCGTCTGAGAAGCGGCCAGAGCTTTTTCCTGGATACGAAGTCCTTCATGAACACCACAGGCAGCCTTGATGCCATTCCCTGGACTCCAGTAGGTGACAGATGCCTATTTTTATAGTGGGCCTGAGTTTAACTTTACGGAATATTTCCAGACATGACCACAGCTGCCTGGGACTCGTTATATGCGTTCCTGCTTTGTAGAAAAAGGGATGATAAGCCCCTCCCCTCACAAGCAGGCATCCTGCCCATAGGATAAAGAGGATTAAGTCTATGTTTGTACCACCAATCTCATGTTATCTCCCATCCCCAGCCCTCGGACAGACACCGGGAGACTTGTTGAGTTCATCTTTGCAGCGAGAGCTTTATACAGAAGATGTACATAAGAAAATATACAATTTGATTTCTATATAGGAGACAGAGGAGTTTTCGTCCTCTTGAGGGTCATTTACACTCAGTTACAGAGGAATAAATATTTTTTTACATACATTTATATATCTCTTTAGGATTAAAAAACACAGTTAAGTTGCAACCGTGGCATTGTAACAGCCATGACAATAAACCACAGTCATCCTGGTGTCCTGCTGGGTCCTGTGAGCAGGGTGAGGAGGGGTGCTGAGCAGGGCAGCGTGCTGCACGCCTCCTCCTCCTGGGCATGCGTACATCTCGGTAGACCCTCAGAGTGGGAGGGAATCCAGTCCTCAGCTCGCTTCAGCTCCGGGCTTTCCCAGCACCGCTTCACTCAGGGGTTTCTGTCTGGCTTAGGGAAGTCGCTGCCTGTGGGAGCCAAGGGCAGCTCTGCCTCAGGGCCGCCGGTTCCTGGGCACTGCTGCACCTGCCATCCTCGGCCCTGGCCTGCAGGGATCCCCTCCGGGGGAAGAAAGAGGACGGAACGGGTTGAGACCAATCTTCCTGGTCAAGCAGCTGGGGAAGAACGCTTCTGCCTTCCTATTGCTTCCGCTCTATTGGAAGGGGAGGGACAGAGACAAACTGCTTGATCTGGGACGTGGGTTCCGTCGCCTCTGGGAAAGATGACTGTGCTTTACCGGCAGGATCTAGGTTAGCTCTCAGTATGGTCATGCATCGTTTATTTTTTAAATGCCTCTTTTAAAGTATATAGATGTTGGAAAAGAGCGAAAAGGTGGATTCCATCCTGCAAGCAGCAGAGAAGCGGGGATTTGGAGGAGGCTGGAGATGTTCAGATATATCAGCTATGTTTCCTGACAGATAGGAGAAGCTTAAGGGAGGACTCGGAGGTCAGTAGTTTTCTGATGATTGGGGTGACCGGTCACCAGGACAGGCCGTACCGGGTCCTGCTGGGAAGAAGAAAGGAAAATCCCACCTTTAGGGGCATCTTTAAGCGCATCATTAAACTTGGAGCTTTTGTGCATTTGTTTTTTGTTGGTTTTTTTTTTTACACCGTGTGTGAGTGAAGCCTACAATTGAAATAGAAGAACTAGAACTCAAGAAGCCACCACCAGTTCCCACGATGGAGGAGATGCATCAGTCGCATCTGCAGCCTCTGATGCCAACTTGCTGTGTGTCTCCAGTTGTACCTGAAGTGTTTGTGGCCGGTGAGCGCTTCCTCTGTAAGGGAAGAAACCCGCGGCAGGGAGAGAAGAGCAGCTGGAGGGGTGAAGAGCGGTGGAGCTCCAGAGCAGGCAGACTTTTAGGAACTGCCAGACAGCCTTTCATCTGACACGTGGCTCCTGCACAGTGAGAGAGCCACCGTGTCTCTGAAAGCCTGAGAGCTGCCATCGGGGAAAGCTGCCCACCTCTCGAGAGCTGCGCAGTGACTCGGGAGCTTTGTGTCCCCTACAGTTGTGTCACTGCACTGGAACAGATTTGTGTGCTTGCACTGTGGCTCTTACACCTGAAGATACTGAGCTTTGTCTTCTGCAAGACTGGGGTAAATTGGTTTTTATTTCATTAACGTTTATAAATTTTTGAGAGTGAGCTGGGCCAAAGGTGCAAAAGGAAAACCAGCTGTTATTGTCATGGTTTTCTTACTCTTTTCCTAGAGGAGTGAGCTGAAACCGAGTTCAGGCAGGGAGAGAAGAAGGTGAAGTATTTAAGTATTGTGGTTTAGAAACCAAAGTTTTTCCGTCTCTGCTCAGAACTTTATCCACCCTGTATGGAATGACTGGTATTTCCATCTCTAATCCATAACGTCTCTGGCACTGCAAGATAAATTATCACTTTAGGAAGGCTCAGAGCTGCTGGCATAATCCCTGACACTTCAGGCATAAATTTATCTTCTCCATCCTGTTATGCATCTCCTTAGGGAACAGGGGCCAAATGGCCTAAGTGGGCCTTGGACTTGGAGTCCTTTCCCTTAGCAAATGGCACAGCGCATCGCGGGGTCACTGTGCTTTACTTAGCAAATAAACAAAGGTCCCTTTCCCAAAAGCTTACACATTTTCAGGTTGATCCAAACCCGTACAAGCTCCAGATCCAGTCCTGGGATGAGGAAAAGCAAAACTCTTGGGCTGAGCTGAGGACAGCTGTGGCTTCCTCGCTGCTCTTTGCTCTGAATTTAGAACACTCAGTAGTTCCCAGCTGTTGGAGGTGTTTGTGTGACGCTGTTCACAGTTGGTGTTTGGACTGGTAGATGTCAGTAAGCCCATTGCTCAAGGGAGAGCCGGCCCTGTCTCCTGAGTCACCCTCTGGCCCAGAGCGCTTTATGCAAAGAATATTTTTGCAAAGATCCTTCCTGTTCTGGGACATTCATTTGGAGGCACCAGCCCTTGTTTTTCTAAATACCTGAGTGTCTTGGATGGGAATGGCAGTTATTGAAAGGCAGGTGCTGGTCTGGGAACTGCTCCCTATGGAAGACATCTATTTTCATATGGAAGGTATGGGCTGGGTGGCCTGGGGCCAGACTCCTCAGCTGTGTCTTGCCCTGGTTTTCAAACCAGACCTGGGAGAGCCTTCACTGGGACGCAAGGAGGAGCATCTCCAGTCGATTAGAAAAGTAAAGTCTGTGTTATTCCACCCCAGGCTGGCAGTGGGCTAAAGCCACCCTTGATTTGACACTGAATTACACGTTTCACCCTTCCTTGCTGTCCCAGGCCGGTCGTTAGGTCTGTGTTTGTTTCAGGGGCTGACTCCATCCCTACTGCTCCGGGCAGCGTCTCTGCTCCGTGAGCCTGTGGAGTCCAGCACGGCCAGCGAGGGCGAGCAGCTCTGATGGGATGTCAGCTCAGCCTCCTCGTTAATGACATCTGAGCCAGCAGCCCCGTGGCATTGTGCACTGGGGCGTGCTGTAGGTCTGTGCACGCAGTGACTACAATCTACCGCTAGGAATTGGTTCTGCGACCCTCTTACGTGCTTAATGGCGGCTTCCCTTCCTGGACCGCTTGGTGGGCAGCTTGCAGGTGCGGAGGGCAGGGGTGTCCCTGATGGACTGCCCCCGGTACTGCGCCGGCGTGGAGCACGTGTCCTCCGTGCGGGTGCGATTGGCTTTCAGCCACCTGGGGGGAGAACACAGGAGCTTACAGGAGGCTCGGCTGCGGCCGCGCACGGAGCCGGCGGGCCGAGCGTTGCCTTCTGCCATCTCCTCCTGCCCCACGTGGGCCGGGGGGCCCCGAGGAGACTGCAGGCGATGAGGGGAAGGAAGGCGTGCGTGGCCGCGTACTTGCGCAGATGTGCCAGCTGGCAGTTGCAGTGCCAGGCGTTCCTGGAGAGCGTCAGGGTCTCCATCTTGTCGAAGGGGAAGTTGCGGGGCAGCTGCGTCAGCCGGTTGTTCTCCAGGTGTGCGGCCTTCAGAACGGTGACGCCGGCGAACGCGTTGTCTGCAAACTGAACACAGAGGTTCGTGCTGAGCAACACCAGTTAGGGAAGGGGAGATGCTGTGCTGGGTTCAAAGCTTGAGCGCTCCACGAGCGTGTGAGGAACGGGGAACCCTGGTGGGAGCCGCGGGCGGCGCGCAGGGCTCCTGCTGGCAGTCTGCTGCCTGAGGAGAGCTGCAGCCCAGCTCCGCGTGGGGCTCCGTTTGAAGCTACGTTCCTAAGTAAAGCCAAAGCGGGCGGCCCCCTTTCTGTTTTGAGCCACACATCCCTGTTCTTAATGAAGCTATTTTCTTATTATCCCTTCCCAGGCTGGACACCCGCCCAGGGCTGCTGCCTTCCCTGCCGTGGGGCGGCTGAAGGAGGCAGTGTTTGTGGCTGGAAGGCCTGTGGGCTTTGGCAGTGCCCGCTGGCTCCGGGTGGAAAGTTACACTTGGATCAGGGCGCTATAGAAATAGAGGCAGGTTTCCAGCCCCTCAGCCTCCTCTGGTTTTTCTCATTTCCAGGGGGCTGTTTGCAAGGTGTGCTGCGAGACCTGTCTGTTCCTGATTGACGGGCAGGCTTTCAGGGAGAGCTGAAGCTTCGCGTGGCTGTGGACCCTGCTTCACAGCCCTCCTCGATCTTTTCCTTCAGGCTTCATCTCCGTTTTTTCTCAGCCAATAGTTACTCAGATTGGAAAGTTTCTTTCTGAAAGCAAACCTGTCAACACAAAGTTTCTGGGAGATGCTGCGTTAGGGACAGGGCAATTGACAGAGCTTCTCGTGGCTGTGACAAACCATTCCTGCCCCTTCCTCAAAATGGGGACATTTTCTCAAAACTGCTGAAAAGAGATTCAGCAGGTCTGCCAGGAGGCCCTGCAGGTCAGCACCAGGGCTTCCCTTTGTGCAGAGCTCACACGCCGTCACGCTGCTGGGACCGCTGGGCTGCGACCAGGCGCTCCAAGCTGAGAGAGCTGACAGAGGGAAACGCGCTGTTCGAAGCTGTGAACTTCTGCAATCTCCCAAATTAAGCAACACCGGATAAATTTAGAGCTTCGCTAAGAAACTCCCCGAGTGCTGTAGCTGTTGGGCGGCCGCAGTGCTGGCTCTGTGAGCTGATCTCAGTGCTGTGCTGATAGCAGAATTGCTCAGAGGGACGCTGCTCGCTGTTCCTGACTGCCCTGGCCGTGTTCTGGTTTGGGCAGAGGAACGCTGGCTGTCTCAGCTCTCATTCCTCTCCCAGCCCACGAGTAGAGGCAGCGTCTGCTGGGAACAGCTGCTGTGCTTCCTGCCACAGCGCGCCTTTGTGAAGAAACTGGTGAATTTCCTTTTGTTTAAATTGAGAATTACTGCTGTAATTTCTTTTCCAATGAAGAGAGGGTGTGTGCAAAGCTTGCAGGTTCTGCACTACCTTATTTTCTGTTGATTCATGCAGTGTGTCCTGGCCCATGTTATATGGCTTGCAAGTGGTTGGGGAAAGGGAATTCTGTGGTGCAAAGAAGCCTGAGGGCTCTTCTTGTTCCACTCGGCACCACCTCGGCTGTGGCAGCTTCATGTGAACAGTTTTGCACTTGAACATCTTGAAAGCTTTGCAGACATACAAGAAAAAGCTAGGGACAGTGATTTTATGGAGAAGGAAGAGCTGCTGTTAAGATGTCAGCAGCATTTAAAGTATTTGGTAGGGATTTCCCAGGTTGTGTGGCTTCTGTGACCAGGTGCATGCGGGCTGCTTCAGTATGGGGCATGCTGAGGTTTTGGAGAGACAACTCTGAACTTGGCTCATAGGCTAGAAAACTAAAACTTCATGTATCTAGATGCTCCTTTGTTGGAATCAAGAACACTGAATTCTCTGCAGCATCACATTTCCTCAGCACAAGACTTGGAGCCTACAGCTGGTGTGACACCTACGTTGGAGCTTTAGATTTGTGCGTGATGGGAATCATGCAACCAAAAACTGAGTCTGTGGAAGTGATGCGACCACGTGTTGAACACTTCCCTAGAGAGGTCAGTAAGTTGATTTAAGTGTTGCATTTAGTTACCCCCGTCCTGGAGACGTTGGATCTAAGAGTAGACAAGGGATTAAATGCTGACTGGGTGCTGTCAAACTGCTTTGGTAGTGTCAGTCTGCACCTGGGCACGCTGTGACTCCAGCTTCTGAATTTTCTTTATTCCCTGTGGAAACTCTGGTGTGGTCTGTTTCTGGTAGCTTTAACAGCTTTGTTGTTGTACAGATAGGTGATACCATTTGAGTTGCTTTTTGTTACTAAGAAATTCCATGTTTCTTCACGTCTTCCTGCACACAGTGGGTGTTGCTCTGCTTTGCTGTCCTGCCTTACCTGGATGCACTTTGGTTTTGGGCTTCACAGAATCGTAGGGGTTGGAAGGGACCTCCAGAGACCATCGCGTCCAACCCCCTGCCAAAGCAGTTCCCTACAGCAGATAATGGCATTCCTGGCAATGCGTTGTGCCAGGGAGGGCCGTCCCTCCCTGCAGAAGATGCCCCCCTTTCCAGCCATGTAGGTGCATCTCGGATGTCGGGCTGCCATAGGGTGCTGCTCTTCTTGCACTGTGCTAGTTTGTGTTCTTGCGCTTCTACCTGGCATTTCAGAGGTCCTAATGTGAGTTATTCCCTGAGCACGATGCTTCTGCCTATGGATGCTTTCTCACAGGAAAAGAAGGAGGTTGTTTTTCCAGGACGTATGAATATTCCTTCTCCACTCTGGCGGGAACAGACCCCCTTTGTAAGATGCTGCAAGATTTGCTTTTGAGAGAGCATCAATAAACAAACCTTTCTTTATAATGTGTAAAGTTTGAAGGCACAGTGGAGAGGTGAAGGTGAAGGTTCACATGTCTGCCTGTCTGCAAGGCATGAGTGAAAAACTGCTTTTGATCCTTGGAATCTCCCCCTTCCAGACAGCAACAGGCACTCAAGCTGAACAAAGGAGGCAGAGCAGTTCAGCTCTTCGATCCCTTGTGTACAGGGCAGATGCCTCGTGTCTGGGATGATGGAAGGTTGCTGACTGTCCTGGACCACCCCAAATACTTTCTCATCAACTGGTGTGACCTCCAGCTCTGGAGAAGTGCCTTTCCAGAGAGCTTGACCAGCCCCAGATAACTTGGCTTTGCATAAAGCAGCCCACCAACAGGCTGGAGCACAGCTCTCATCCCTTGCTTGGGCTACGTATGGTTTTCCTGCAGCTGGCAGGTGCCTCTCTTCACGCCGGCCTGGATCCCCCCTCTCTGCAAACTGCAGGAGGGGCAAAGAATTGGCAGCTTTGCGAGGGAGGAGAGAATTGAGCCCTCATACACAGAGGAAAGACAAAGAGAAAGGACTGACCTTTTTCAGTTTCATGTTGTCCAGGTGCAGAGTCTGCATGTAACGCCCAAAGGACTGGAAAGCGTTGTCTGGAATCACCTCGATTGGGTTGTGGGAAAGCTTCAGCTCCTCCAGCACTCTCAGCTTGCTCATTGCGCTCACAGGATAGCTGCTCAGCTGGTTCTTGTCCAGGTGGAGGACAGCGAGATTTTCAACGTCCTCCAGGGCCCCGGGCAGGAGGTTGGTGAGGGAGTTGTCAGAGAGGAAGAGCCAGCGCAGGTCTTTAGCGCCACTGAAGACCCCCGCTTTCAGCTCCCGGATTTTATTGCTGCCTAGGTGCAGGATGAAGAGATTGACCAGAGGGGAAAGGATCCCTTTGGATAAGTCTGGGATCTTATTCTGGTCCAGGTACAGGTAGGTGAGCTCAGAGAGGTCATCAAAGGCTCCCGGCTTTATGACGCTGATCTGGTTGTCGGTGAGGTAGAGGTAGACCAGGTTCTTGAGCCCTCTGAAGGCTCCGGCTGAGATCTCCTTGATCCGTGAGCTCTGGAGATGGAGGGACACCAGCTTTTTCATGTCCCGGAAGCCATTGGTCGGCAGGACAGGGAAATTGTTCTTCTGCAGGTTGAGAAGCCGTGTTTGCTCAGGCACCTTGGGGATCTTCTTCAACCCAGCATTGTCACAGATGACGTGCTGCAGGTCCCCGCCGTGGCAGTGGCAGCTCGGGGGACACGCTTGCACAACGGAGATGAGGCAGGCCAGGAGGCTGAGGACACTGAGGAGGCAGCCTGACCGATTCATGGTCAGGTCTGGAATCGGTGTGGTGGGAAGAGAAGAAGCGGGAGGAGGAGGGAGATGGGTAAGAGAGAGAGAGTAACTGGGTTTGCAGCATGCTGAACACAGCCCTATTTATAATGTTATTAAAAAGCAAAATCCCTTCCCACAAACCGCAGGCAGCAGCCAGTTGGAAGCAAGTGGCTTTGGGAACTTACTGTGAGCTTAACCCCTTGGCACCAGGCAGAGGAATGTCCTCTGTCCTGCTGGGCTCCACTGCAGAAGTGCCTGCGCAGAGGTAGTTTTCCTCTCTGCAGCGGGGGGGCAAATGGTCAAGAGGAACAAATGCAAGCCTGCTCCGTGAGAAATCTCTGATCCCTGCTGAGCCATGCAGGGCCCAGGTTTACCAGTGAAAAGCAACCTATTTTGCTTGAATGGAAGCCTTAGGATGGCACAGCAAGGAGCACTGCTGCCCTTCAAACCAGCTTGCACTAAAGCTTTCAGCCAGTTCCTGGGCTGCATGTTGGCCTGGGCCGTTGTGGGGAGATGCATTTTTTCCTGCTGTGGCAGAGGAAAGGCTCTGGAGGATCTTGTTGATTTCAAAGGAGTTTGCTTGAGAAGGGACTGGAGGAGGTGTGAGAGCTGTGGTGTCATGCCGATGGTCAGCACTGTAATTGCTTTTGCAGTGCAGAATTTTAGTTGAAGACCTTCAGATCTAGATGGCACCTAGGAATTGGCCAAGAAAGGGGAGCGAAGGCGTTGGTGATTTCTGCTGCATCTTTCTATGGAGGTGGAGGATCCAGGGCTGGTCATGGTCAGGAGATCTACGTGTGAAGGGAATTCTCAGCACGTGGCACTGAGGAGCAGAGATCACTGCCTTCCTCTGGGGGATGGAGCAATGGCAGAGACTGCAGGGAAGTGGTGAGGCACAGACTGGTGGGTGTGATACTAAGAGAAGAAGTGCTTGGTGGTGGTTCTTACTGCACGCCTGGCTTAGGTGAGGTGGATGGCAATGCCTGAGGCTCTTGGGGTGAAGCTGGACAGGGAAAGCCATGGGCACTGGAAAGGAAATGGTGAAGCTGCAGAGCAACTGCTGGAGCAGGAGCGGGGCTGCGCTGGTGCATGTCTTGCAGCCGCAGTTGCAGGGAGTTGTGACATGGACAGGATGTTCCTTGCAGATAAAGCAAAGCAGTTAAAAGCCCCAGTGCCTGCTGTGGGGAGTGAGAAGGGAGAGATCCAGGAGTTGCGGGGTGGAGTTTGGATGTGGAACATTTTGAACTGATTTCCAGCCAGTTCCTGGCTGTAGCAAACAGCGGAGAGCCGAGCACATAACTGTGAGCTTGTTGAGATTTCTGCTGCTGAAGCTGGATACAGAGCCCCAGTGGAGCTTTTGCAGAGGCGAGACAGTCTCAAGAAAGGGAGGAAATCCAAGGGCTGACTTAGGACACAGACTGGCTTATTCACAGAGATTTCTGGGTTTTTCCATTGTTGCAGTGAGGAATTAGCCAGCGCCACTGAGCATGCTCCAGTGTTATGCAAACGGCCTGGCAGCCTCAGCTCGGAGCAGCAGCTGTCAGTTTAAATGGCGTTTTCAGTGCATGACTTATCTGGGGGGAGAGAGGGGGCTTCTGGGGTGTGAATGTAGGCTCTGATGAGCCTGCGAGGCAGATGGGATTGGCTGCACGGTGATGTCATGTGGGACCTCAGTGCAAACCAGGCCATGTCACTCTTCCAATGTTTGTTTGTGTTGACATGCAACGCCCTGCTGTAGAGCAGCTGGGGCCTCACCGCGGCTTCAGCATGAAGCCGTTCCTCCCCAGAGATGCCCTGCTGTGGGACCGCCGGGCTCATGCTGGAAATAAAGGTGAGAGGTGCTTTTGTTTGTGTCGCTGCAACGACTGGGCACAAAGCACGCGCTGTGGTCACTGGAGCATCACTGCTGTCAGGATCTGTGAGTCGGGAAAAATGGGGCGCACAGAGGAACCCTCAGACCTGCATGAGAGTGGAAAAGGAAAAAAACCCAAAAAATCCTCTAAAACATCATCGTCTTCTTTCCACTGACTGATTCTTCTCTGAACAGATTCAACTGCCTTAGTCTTAACCTGTCCCCATTTGTTCAGCAGTTCCTGAAGGTTGTGCACCAGCTCTGCTGTGCAAGAGCAGCTGAAGGTGTGCTTTAAAAGTCAGCCGGCTTCTGTTGGATGCTGGCGCTGGTGGTGTATCTGTGCTTCCCTCCTGACTGCAGCTAATGTTTCCTACTTGGTTTTCCCATCTTCTCCCAAAAGAAATACTGGCCATCACTGTACCATTTGTGCAGAAATCTCTGCTAGCCTGAGTCGGACTGGCCCTAAAAGATGTGAGATCTTTGCAAACTCCGTCCATGACTACATCCCACCCGTGTGTCTCTGGAACAAGACCCCTTGCAGAGGTTAGGCTGTAAAAACCTCAAGCCGTCCTCTATTCTTTTTTCCTCTGAGAACAAATTTCACTTTCTTCTCTGTTTGCTGGCTGAGACTGTGGATTTTTGGGGCCAGGGAATTTCTCCCGGCACAGATAAGGGTGCTATGGCCAGAGAGGTCAGGCCCAAGCTTGGGTAAAGACCTGTACTGTCCTTGCAAAGGTGCCACAATGCAGCTGCCCCCACGCTGTGCTGGTGCAGGGTGGGGAAATGCAGCAAGGGCTCCTGCCAGCCTTGCTGGTGCCGCAGAGCTTTGGTGGATGCTGTGTTCCGCTGGGTCCTGCTGTGGGGAGGCAGCGGGGCAGGGCTGCCAGGGAAAAGGCGTCTGCTTCTCGGCTCCATTTCTGCAGGCACAGATGTGGAATAAAAGGAAGTTCTTTCCCCTAATGGTTTTGATTTCCAGGCCTCGGTGAGCGCATTCCTGTGGCGGGAGCCGACTGGCATCTGCTGCGCCTGGCACCTGGCCTGGCGGCCGGAGGGGCCTCTGGGCTCCGTGCTGCTCGAGTTTGGAGCTGCTTGAGTTTAGAGCTGCTTGCTGACAGCCTCTGGCCTGCCCACACTGGGCTTTGCAGCCCAGGGGTGACTCAGGCTGGCCGGCGAGCGTACAGTGATCCTCAAAAGCTCAGCCAGGCTCTGCTGGTGGCTCGCGGGTGGCTTGGAGTCCAGCGCTGACAATGGCAGCAGTGTCGGTGCTCCCGCTGCAGGGCAGGATGCCGCAGGGCTGGGAGCATCCAGCCCAGCACCCACAGCTCCCCGGGGACCAGCGCTGCTGGGACGGGGCGGAGGAGCTGGGATTCTTCTGCCTCCTCTCTTTCTTAATTGATTAACAGTTAGCAAACATTCCTGTGCCTGGTAATGGGAGCCGCTGGCCTCCCCTCCTCTCCTTCTTGGAGGCGTTGTGGGCAGAGCAAATAAATACAGGTTTTGAAACTGTATAAATATAGATTTGGGGTGTTGCTTTGGTGTTGCAGGTCAGAACTGTTTTGATACAACATTGGAGATGGTCTTTTCCATGTGTAATCTTTATTTTTGTTAGTATTAACAATTCTGGTGTGCTGAAATTGCTACACGTACACTACTCCATGTGAAAATATTCTGTTGCTTCCTAAAGCCTGACTGCAGCTTTGAAGGGGATCCAGATCTAGTTTTGTACATCAGTGCAGATCAACAGTTGCCCTCTTGGGCTGCAGGCTCCCGTTCTGGCTGGAAAAGGGCGCTCAGACAGCCTGGGGACTTTGGCTGTCCCCCATTTACAGCTGAGCTTCTGTCTCTCCCTGGCACTGGGTGCTGGTGGCAGAGGGTGCAGGTGATGCTCTGCGACGTTCCCTGGCATGGAGCAGTGTTTGAAGAGCCAGGGGGATGGGCAGCAGATGGGGTGCAGGTGCTCCATCTCCAGGCAGTCCCAGAGAAATCCCTGGCTTTCAGCCATGTGCAAGTAACCCATCAGCAGCAGTGGTATTTGAGATGAGTTCAGATCCATCTTATTGCTTTTATTTTATGTGCCTGAAGGATGCTTTTTGCTGAGGATGAGGACCTGGCCTGTTTGTAGAGCTGGATGAGGTGGTGGTGGGTGCACCTCCTTCCATCTGATGGTTTTCTTCCACTGTAGCGTGGCCTCCACCCATTGATACGTTGCCAGTTTGGCTCCAGTTGATGTCCACCCACTCCTCTCCCATCCACCCTTCCCTTCTCTCTGATCCCAGTGACTGCTGCACGATGCTCTTGGCTTCTTCCATGTAACTCATCCTGCCCTCACCGCTGCCCCAGCCATGCCGTGTGCACCCTGCAAGCCTGAAGCCCCCGGGAGGCTCAATGAGCTGGCAAGCAGGTGGCTTTAAAGCTGCAAAGCTGTGGGAGCATGCTGTGAGAACATTTAAAATGATGACTTTGTATATGGAATGAAAGCAATGAGATCCCAGACTGCCAGCCACGTCCCCAGTGGGGACTGAGCTCCCCAGGTCTGCGTGGCTGTTGCTCTGCACCTAGCATTTTGGACAGTTTCCTTCTCTCACAGCTTTGAGCATTTGGATTCTCCCCACCCAGGGTTTTTCCTCCTTTGCAGGGCCTCTGTCTCTCTGTGTTCCCTCTCACCTTTTCCTTATACTTCCACTTTTCCTAAATGCATCGGCAGCCCAGCACGAGGGGTGAAATTAATTCTGCAGCAAAGGCCTTTTATCAAGCTGTCAGTAGAACACCAACTAATTGCACCCACCTTTGCTGGTTGCCACTGGGCAGTGTTTCTGAAATGCTGGCTGGGCCAGGGAAGTATTTGCAAGCTCTGAGATTTCACATCAGCCTGGAAAGAAGAGAAGCAGGTTTAACCCAGCTGGTGAGGAGCAGCTCGTGCAGCAGTGGCTGTTTGATGGCCAGGGCCATTTTTCAGTGGCCACCTTCTGGCCCAGGCAAGCTGGGTTACCCTTTTTGCATTGGTCTCCTCCTGAGGCGAAGCCATTGCGTGCAACAACACAAAGCCAGTGCTTTGGGCACCTGATATTTTTGGGATCTTTTAAAGCCCCATCCAAACTGGGAATATTTGGCAGCTCTTCGTGTGGGGAGGAATGCCAATGGGGGCCACCCTTGGAGGTTTGTCCTGTAAAACCTGCTTGTTTGTGTCCTGGCGTTTTGACACAAAGATGGTACTGTTGCTGTGGTAGGAAATGAAATCTCGTGTGACACAGGCTGGACGGGATCAGGAGCTGTTTTTGCAGAGGCAAAGTTGACCTGGAGGTTCAGGAATATTCCAATACAACTTGTGGTCGTGGGACAGCTCTAAAGCAATGAGACACGTGGCCCAGAGGATGGCAGAACTCGGGGATGGTGGTGGTGAGCAACTGCATGAGGAAAGATAGTTGCTCGGCGAAGAACAATTTGCATCTGGCTGCTAAGGAATGGGCTTTGGTGGGGAAATGTGAGACAAAACATCAGCGTGGCTTTGGGGTAACGAGATCCATCGTGTGTGTGACAGTGGGCAGGGCTCAAAGAGCTGCTCAGAGTCCCTCAGCGCATCTCTTGGGTCGTCAGGCTGCTTTCTGGTGTTCATTATGCGTCTTTGAAGTCTGAAAATCCCTATTATTTCACGGTCAATTTGCTTCTCTTTTCCGAGGCCAGTATTGTCTTCAGCGAAGCCGTTTCTGTACATTTTAGTTCCAGCCCTGGCATCGTCCTCCAGCGTGGCACAACCGGATGGCGCTGATGGGCAGCGTGAAGCTCGGCGAGGCCCTCCTCAGCCCCGGCCTTCCCCTCCACGTCCCCCCAGTAGCCCCAGCGCTGCCGTCAGCCTTCTTCCTGCAGCCTTTCAGAGCCGGGCGGGAGGCAAGGGCTGTTCTCCTTGCCGCCGGGTGCTCAGGGAGACCGAGGAGCAGGGAGCCGACGAGCCTCGCTCCAAGCGATGCGGCGCACAGGCGGCGTGGTTGGGAAAAACCCAGGGTCCTCAGTGCCCCTGCTGTGCCCACCAGATCTGCCTTTCCCAAATGTTTACTGAGGAGACTGGACTCCGATTGTTTTTATTTTTAATTTTTAGACTCTGCCTTCTTCAGCCTGTTTTGCCGATTCCGCAGTGGCCGCTGTTCAAACAGCGCCAGCAGGAAATGTTTTTGAAATGTGCTTTAAAAAACACAGTTCTGTTAAGATGTTCTTTTTATTCCCAGTTTAGACAGACTTTGATTCACAAAGAATGAGTCTCTTGTCAGTAGCACCGAGCTCGGCAGCCGCTGGTCCTGAAGCTGTCCTTGTCGCTGCTGAAGGCAGGGCTGCTGGGCGCTGGGGGTCATCGCAGCCCTCGCAGTGAAAGAAGGCTTTAAAGTCGATTATGTTCTGTACTTTCATAGCTCCTCTCAGAGCCGAGCGTCCGAGCTGGGCTCCCTGCCACCTTTAAAGCTTTGCTTTGACACTAGATGTAGCTCCAGTGGAAATTATGGATCTGATGCAGAAATTATTGGGTGAGGTTTTCTGGACTGAAATGTACAGAATGACAAGGCTGGATGAGCCTAAGTGTCCCGCTGGGCCTTGAGAGCTATGAATCTCTGAACTTAAAATCAGTTTTGTGGAAGTGTGGTTTCATCTCGTGCCGGAGTTGAGCAGAGGAGCCCTGGGAGGAAATGCCACGCGTCGGGTGAGGGGAGGACAGCACAGCTCTGCCGAGACCCAGGCTGTGCAGATGAGGGAAACCACCCAGAGAGAGACGGCGTCTGAAGAGAGGAGAAAAAGAAGTGACAGAAGTACAGAGCACCGCCGCAGGGAAAGGCAGGACAGGGGCTGGAGCTGGGCGCTCTGAGCTGCGCTGCCCTTGGGCCGGCTCGGGAAGCACGCGTTCCCTTGGGTCTGCTTGGGCGCGGGGCTCCCGGCAGCACCAGCCGTGCCACCTCTGCTGCCGAGGTGTGAGAGCATCGTGGGGACGCGGCGCAGCTCAGGGCACACAGCTGTGCTCTGCCGCCAGGCAGCCGGAGCTGCAGCCGTGTCCTGCGAGGGGCTGCGTGCTGCTGCCTCCCGTTAAAGCAGGGGAGCGATGGGGAGCGGCAGAAAGGGTTGAGTCAGGGCCTGGCCGGGATCCCGGGCCTGAAGCTCCAATCCATCCAGTAAAGCAGAAAAACAAAGGCGTGTGGATTTTTAATAAGTGTTTAAGATTTTGGATTTATGTCTCGTCAATCATTTGATCCAGCCACAGGACCCGTATTTGTGGGTGGAAGAGAAATCCTTTCTGAGCATTCAGCTCTGCAGGTTTCCTCCCTGACTGCTAGGCTGTCATTATGTCTGGTAGGAGAAGCCTCGTTACAGTCGCAGTTTGCACCAGATGGTTCCTGTGGCATCCTGGAGATGATCTCCAGATTCCTGGCAAATCTGCAGCTCGGGTTTCATGCTGACCCGCCGCAGTCAAGTGAGCACATCAGACGTGACGGCAAACTGCACCCAGTGTGAGCTGCTTTGGCAGCTCGGAGTCGCAGAGTGCCAAGCTCTCCCACCACCATCATGTGGGGCCTGCTGGGGATGCACGCATAGCTTGCTTGGATGCCTTGCCACGGACCTTTGTTGAGTCCCTGATCAGCTTTGAGCACAGTGCCTGGAGCCTGGTGAGGTCCGTGCAGAACTCCAGTGGTGTCAGTGTGCCCTTGCAGCAGCAGTGCAGCCCTAAAGAGAAGGAACACGTTGAAGCTCCGTGGATCAGAGCGGCTCATGGATCAGTCTTTGAAGCTGTGGTGGAGGAGGGTGCAGATGTTTTCTGCCTTGGCCCTTCCCTAGCTATGCTTTCCCAACAAAACATGTTCTGGTGATGATGGGCGACGTTCTAAGTGGCTCAGAGAGTGGAGAAGGGCTCCAGCATGTCCCACTGGTGGCACAGTGCTTACAGCAGCTGGATACCGAGCAGCAGTTGCAGCGTGGTGCTGTCAGCTGTGGCCCTGAGCGCTTCCTTCCCGGCTCCCGGCGAGTTCTCCAGCACCACACCGGGCACAATGAGCTGGAATTTTCCTCCGGAGAACTGACCTTCAGCTGAGGTGACTCAGAGCCCGCCGGTGGGATTAGTGCTGAGGGAGGGTTAGCAGCAAGCAGCTTTTGTCCTGCTGTGAGGCTTTTGGTCTGTAAGTGCAGCTGCGCTGAGCGCTGTGCAGCCTCGTGATGTCTTTAGGAGGGTTATGGGAGCTGATGTCTGCACAAAAGGATCTGGAGCAAACAGCCACGCAGCGGGGCACGTGGTTTCCCACTGCTGGCTCCAGGGTTTTATCCAAGTGATTTTTTCTTTGCCCTAAGCTGTAGAAGATAGAAGGTGAACTCAGCACCTTGTGTGGATGGCTGCAAGGGCATGCAGGCAAGTTCAGCATGTGGCAGAAGTGGCAAGGAATAAACAGGGCAGGGCTTGGGAAGGCACACGGGGGTTAAAAAAGAGGAGAGCGGGCCCTGGGGTCCTCCAGGAAAAGCAGCTGGTTTGTCAAAAGTAAATGACAGACAAATTGCCTTGGGCAGCAGAGGTCTGGAGCAGGGCAATGGTGAGGCTACGGCTTGCAGTCAGAGCTTCTGTAGCCCTTGTGCTCCTGGAGTCTCTCTGGAGAGCCAGGAGAGCACAGCGCTTGCTTGTGACTGGAATGGCTGTTGATAACATCCTCCTCTCGCCCCATCTCCTTGTGGCCATCACTCACTTCATCTTTCCCAAGGCTGGAGCTGTGCTCTCTTCCTCTTGAGGCACGTTGCTGCTTTTGTGATTGCAGGTTGCCTATGGGACCACAGAAAACAGCCCCGTCACCTTCATGGGATTCCCCACTGACAGCTTCACCAGAAGGGCCGAGACGGTGGGATCCATCTTGCCCCACACGGAGGTGAACATGAATCCTCCCCACTTGCTCCAGGTCTTCTCTGCTCCTGGAGTTGCTGCATGCCATAACGTTTGGCTCGGCTCCCCAAAGGCTCTGCTTCTCTTCCACTGTAGGCAAAAATTGAGGATCCAGAAACAGGGAAGCCTGTGCCTCTGAACATTCCTGGGGAGCTTCAGGTCCGTGGCTACTGTGTCATGCTGGGGTACTGGAATGACTCTGCCAAAACGCGTGAAGTGATCTCTGGTGATAACTGGTACAAGACTGGGTGAGTCTGGACAGCAGCCTGCTCCCATGTCCCTCCTGGATGGGGACGCTGCACGGGGACGTATGTGTGCACGAATGGTTTAGCTATGCTTTCCAAAGTAGGGAAAACTGGCCAGAGTTAGCGCTGTGATCTGTCGGTTCCTCTCCGTGAAACTCCAAAACAGCTCTTAGCAAGCTGCTCCTGGAGTTGGAGGTATTTCCTTGGTGTGACTGTGCTTCCTCCAAGAGGCAGAGCGCTGCAGGCACGCAGCAGAGACAAGGACAGGGACAGCAGGAGTCTCCTTCCCCCGAGCCCCGACGTTCGTAGATGCTGCCATGACAGTGTCTGCCTATAGCAGAAACTCCCTGATCTCTGCAGGACTTTCTTCCGTGTGTTTCAGTGGCAGCTCACCATTACCTTCCAGGCAGTCTGATCTTGGCTCCAGGTGATGGGTGAACCAGGCGCTGCTCCACCCAGCTGGGGCAGCACTTGGGCTGTGGTGTCATTGCAGGGACATCGCGACCCTGGATGAGCACGGCTACTGCAGAATTATAGGCCGCTGCAAGGACATGATTATTCGGGGAGGAGAGAACATCTACCCAGCAGAAATTGAGCAGTTTCTCCACACCCACCCCAAGATTGAGGAGGTCCAGGTGAGCAGGAGGGAACGGGGCTGGCTGAACAGCGGCGGTTTATGGAGATGAAGAACCTGTACACGAGGAGGCTTGGCCCTGCAGCTGGCCCCTGCCTGTCCTCCCCCTTTTTCAGCTTCTTTAGTGCAGCATCGTTCTGCAGCTGGTGGGGGCAGGAATGGGGTGGGCAGAGCTTCTGGGTCTTTCCTTTCAGCGTTGCAGGCACAAAAGCTCAGACAAAATCTTTGTGCAACAGTTTCACATCTGCAAAGCAGTGACTCATTCTTCAGTTTTTAAACTGCCTGTCCACTTTCATAATGCTCTCTGAAATTCTGACTTGGAAAGCAGTCTGCAAGGACAGCTCTTACTGATAATTAACTACTGCACTCCTAAATCAAAAAAGACTCCTCCAGCAAATCCCTGGAGATGAGGAGTTAGACTTAGTTTTATCTGCTCACAAGACAGAAATGATGTGCAGCGTTGAGCAGCTGCTCCCAGTCTGCTGGGATTGTTTTCCTCCGTGTTTTGTGCCAGACAAGTTTCCCCATAAATAAACCAATTGTTCAGTAAGCGTTGTGCTTGTGCTAGGCTGGCACGTCTCCTTGGCACAGCCTGCTGCAGATGGGATGCAAACCAGCCTTGTCTATGCAGTTCTTAGGGCTGCGTGTCACTGCTCCGGACTCAAGGGTCGACGCATCTCGGGTTCTGAGGCACTGGGCAAGGCAGGGATGGCAGGAGGACTCGTGTGAAATGGTGTGAGACAGCTTCAGAGATCAGGCCTGGGAGGCCCCCCTGGAGTGGTCTGATCTCCTGGCGTCACAGGCAGTGGTGAACTAAGCTCTGCCTTTATAAGGGTTCCAAAGAAGCCATTAGTTCTATTTCATCCCTCTCCTGCTGTTTCATCTTGAGAACACAAAGCAACTGAAGCAATTTCCCAAGTCTGTTGGTCATGAAACCTATTGCCCCGTATTTACAGCTGGGGAGACAGAGGCACAAAATGAGATGTCAGCTCCCCTCCGTTCTCACAGAGGCCGGGCTGCCCTGACTCAGCCCTGACCTCAGTGACTGCAGAACCAGAGGAAGGCGCTGACGTCTGGGTGCCCACCCTGCTGTGCCACATTTCCTCCAACAGACGGCAGAAGTCCTTCCAGGGGGGTTTGGTGACTCATAGGAAGCTCTGGCAGGCTGTTTGTGGCACCCAGTGCACAACTCCCCCCCGAGCATCCTGCGGGGCTCAGGGCTGCGACACCCTGCAGGCACAGCGAGCTGCTGGGGGGCCGTCTCCAGGCTCACACGTCCTTCTGTCCCCACCAGGTGGTTGGAGTGAAGGATTCGCTGATGGGAGAAGAGATCTGTGCTTGCATCCGACTGAGAGCTGGGCAGAGCTGCGCAGCCGACGACATTAAAGCTTTCTGCAAAGGGAAGGTGCGTTCTGCTCCTGTGTGCCCCGCTCCAGTGTCCTGCCTGGCCACCGCGACCAGCAGCAGCTGGAGGGCTGCAAATGCAGCGGTGCAGCTCACCTGGCCCCTCAGCCCCACTTTAGCTGTGGATGCTACAGGCAGCTGTGCTGCGCCGCTGCTCCTGGCAGGTTGTGGAGCTGTGGCTTTCTCTTCCCAGATCTCCCATTTCAAGATCCCGCGCTACATCGTGTTTGTGAGTCAGTACCCACTCACTGTCTCAGGCAAGGTAAGAGGGGCTGTGGGACGAGGGACGCCGTGCCCTGCCGTGCTGTCTGAGCCTCTGCACCTCTGCTTTGTTTCAGATTCAGAAATACAAGTTGAGAGAGCAGATGGAGAAGCACCTTCAGCTCTGAGCTCAGGAAGGAGAATAAAACAAGGGATAAATTGGACTCGCTGCATCCAGCCTTACGTCTCCTTTTCACCCGTGCCTTGTGACAAGCAGTGGAGGGCTTCTCTCCCTGCCCTTGGACTGATGGCACTTTCATGCTTATAGAACAGAGAGCCTTTTTTTTGCAGCTAGCTTTGTTTCTTTGCCAGAGGAAATACTGCGGTGTGAGGAAAAGATGCTTACTTCTGGAACTGTGTCCTGTTACTCTAAGACTTCACGAAGGTTGCAAAGTCTTGTTTCTCCTTGAGCAACTTGGCTTCAGCCATTTCAGAGGGCTTTCTGGGCCTGAACAGATGCTGGTAACATACTGTTCCTATTTCTACTGATATTTGAAGTCACAGCAGCCTCACCTGGTTAATGCCTTCTCTGCTTGGGTGCTGCTGGGATTCATAGGGCGTACAAATCACCCAGTGAAGTGAGCACTGATAGACTTGAGATGAAGGGCAGAGGCTTTAGGCAGAAAGGCTTTCCGTCAGAAGTGGCTCCCCACAGCTGGCTGGAAATACCAGCCCTGTTCCCAGGCCTCCCAGGGGCCTTCTGACCAGCAAATAAAATTCTCCAGCACAGACTTAATGGTGTTTATTTTTGTTGCTTTGAATAAGACAGACAGTAAGCAGTGTACAGAAATACCAAACTTTCTGTCCCGTGAGAAGCGCAAAGCAGAGCAAACAGGGACAGCGTTTTTACGGGAGTTTGGTGCCTCCCAACCATGAAACACCACGACGAGAAGCTGAAGAGCAGAGCTCCTTTCCCCTCCCGTCGAGTGTCCCACACCAGCTGGGCTGCAGATGACATTGCAGCCAACTCTCACCAACCTCTTTCTGTCTCCTGGAGCCGCTGAGGAGCGGTGGTGCAAAGGGGGAGCGAGGAAGTGTCAGCGAAGTGGCTGTTCAGGCTCTCCCAGCTGGGCTGTGGGCTCTACCCATGGAAGCAGACCTTCTCAATGAGATGACCATTGTTCGTAGGCGCTTCCTGAAAGAACAGACCGTGTCAGCATCCCACCTTGCACATCTGTGCCCGCAGTGCTGTCGTAGAGCTTTCCACACAGTGCAGCTCTGCTCAGTGCCTCCACCTTCCCCACGTCGCCTGCGGGCTGCGTTCCACGCGCTGCCCTGAGGTGAGTCTGATGTGCACAGCTGTAATGCGGTGTTAGGATCCTTGTAACCCTCCTTCCTCGAGGAGGAACCACGACCCGGACTGCAGCAGTGGCAGCAATGACCTTGGAGACGCAGCGGATCTCTGTGCATCATGTCTAAGAAAGGATTCACATCCTTCCTTTGCTTCCTACAGCATTAACCCAGGTGCAGGACAGGCTGGATTGCGCTGGGAAGTGTTTCTCTCCTTCCTGCTTGGCCCCTATAACCTCTGTACAGACCCAGCTGCCCAGGAGCACCCCATGTACTCACCTGGGTGTGGAATCCCTGGGGTCGGCTGCTATGAGACAAAGATGAAATCAATCCTGCCTTGTGCGGGGTCACAGACTGCAGAGAGAAGCCCCAGGCACAGGTTACAGTCACACAGAGGGACGCAGACCCCATCAGCCCTGTCCCTGGCCCCGCACCATCTGCATACACGAGCTGCAGGCCACGCACTGCTCACCTTGGGCTCAGCACCCACCCAAATCCCAGCCCCAGAGCTTTCCCATCTCATGGCTTTGAGGTCGCTGCTCGCCGCCTCCCGCAGCCCTGCTCCACAGGCACTCACCAGGACAGCGTGGATGCACAGCAGAGCTCTCCACATTGCGTCGGTCGATGTGCCCATATGCGATCTGTGCGGCGCAGCCCATCCCTACCAGTGTCTTATAGCCCTCGCTGCCAGCTGGGAAACTCCCCGCTGTGACCCACCAGGACCGGGTGACGTCGGCCCGAAAGCAGGAATCTGCGGTGCCGGCTTTCCCCTCCCTTTGTCACAGCCATGTTTCACTTCTCCACTTCTATTAATAGTGCAAATTAAGAAAACGCGACGCGTTCGGCCGTCAGCGCCGCCTTTGCACAACCACGAGCGGAGGAACGCGGCGGTTCCGCCTCCTCCCGCAGCCGTGGGGGATTTGGGGCCGCACGCGGTGATGTCGGCGCCGTCCCGGCGCAATGCCCCCGAACAGCGCCTGTGGGGGGAGCGCGAAGCGGGGCGCAGAACAGCCCCGAGCCCCCGAGCCCATTTCCCCACCGCCCGGAGCTCCTCTCGGCAGAGCCCCGCTGGGCGCAGCGTGACTCGGACGGGTCCTCGGGAACACCGTGCGATCGTGGAGCGGTGGGGTCGGAGGGGGCCGTAAAGGCCACGCGGTTCCCGTCCCCGCAGCGGGCGGAGCGCTGCCGGCCCGGGGCTCCTCCAGGGCTGGGGCCGCACCGCCTCCGGGCGGAGGTTTTCCGCTCTCACCCGAACCGGACGTTCCCCGGCAGCGCAGAGCCGCGCGCCAGACGCCATACGAGCGTGAAATTAATTAAAGGCTACCGTTATTAACGCGCGGCAGCTGCGCGCTCGGTTCGGATAAGACGAGGAGGTCTCCGGAAAACGGAACCCCGCGCCCGGGGCGGAACAGGGGGCGGTGCGGCTGCGCGGGGCGATGGCGGTGCGGGGCCTCCGTGCGGCGCTCGGGGCGGTGCGGCCACGCGGGAGGGGCTGCGCTGCGGGACTGAGATCGGCCTCGAAGCCCTCCGAGCCCGGCCCTGAACCGGCGGGGCCCGTGACAGCGGCTCTCTACGTGCACGTGAGCGTGGGGACGCGGGGGTGGGCGCGTACGGGGCTCTTATGCGTGGGGAGCGGGGCTCGGCCACGGAGGGGCTCCCGCTTGTGGCAGCTGCGGGCTGGTGCTGCTGGTGCTCGCGGGGTGCCGCTGCCGCGCGCACGACGGGGCGCTGAAGGCTCTGTGCGTGCAGAGGGCAGCAGCCAGGGGTGCGGGCGGTGGGCACTGGGGGTCGATGCTGTGTGCGGGGCCGTAACCCTGCGGTGGGACAGCCGCGTGCCCCACAGACACCTTATGCCTGCAGTGGCCCTACTGCCGCAAGCACTGCTCCTACTGTAGCTTCAACAAGTACGTGGTGCCGGCTGTGGACGAGGCGGCCGTGCGTGCCTGTCTGGTGCGGGAGACGCAAACCCTGCTGCGCCTTGGCCATGTGCAGAGGTGGGTGCCCGCCTTGGGGCCAGGGAGGTACGGGGCCCTTCAGCGGCCGCCTGCAGCCTCTCCCCTGCCCTCCTTGCAGCGTCACCTCCGTCTTCTTCGGTGGGGGCACCCCCAGCCTGGCCGCCCCGCACACCATCGCCGCCGTGCTGGAGGCGGCTGCGGAGGTCGCTCATTTCCCTGCTGGAGCCGAGGTGACGCTGGAGGCCAACCCCGGCTCCGCTGACCCCGCGCGCCTCGCTGGCTTCAGGGCGGCCGGCGTCAACCGCCTGTCCCTGGGCGTCCAGGTGAGAGCGGCCGCCCCATCCCAGCCCTCTGTTCCCACGCAGCTCCGCTGCCACCGTGCTCCATCCGCAGTCCCTGGACGACGCTGAGCTGCGGCTGCTGGGCCGGGAGCACACGGCGGCGGAGGCGCGGGCGGCGGCGGAGGCGGCACGGAAGCTCTTTCCTGGCCGCGTCTCCTTCGACCTCATCTTTGGGCTGCCGGGGCAGAGCCGCGAGGCCTGGGCACGCGGCCTGGAGGCGGCGCTGGGGCTGTGTGACGACCACTTGGCCCTGTACCAGCTGACTCTGGAGCGGGGCACGGCGCTGGAGGCCCAGGTGCGGCGGGGGGTCCTGCCTGAGGCCCCCGAGGAGCTGCTGGCCGATTTGTACCTGAGCGCCCGCGCCACGCTGGCGGCCGCCGGCTTCCACCAGTACGAGGTCTCCAATTTTGCCAGGAAGGTGAGCGCCCCCGCCTCGAGCCCCCGCCACCGGCGCAGCCCCTCCTCACCCACCGCACCGCTGTCCTGCAGGGCGCCCGCAGCACCCACAACCTCTCCTACTGGCGGGCCGAGCAGTACGTGGGCGTGGGGCCGGGTAAGCGCTGGGGTTGGCGGCGGCGACCGTGCGCCGGGCCGCGTGTGCGCCGCATCCTCTCTGCTCTCTGCGCCGTCGCAGGGGCGCACGGCCGCTTCGTGCCGTGGGGAGAGGGCGGCCGCCTGCGCGAGGCACGCGTGCAGACGCCGCACCCTGACACGTGGATGCGGGAGGTGCGGAGCTGCGGGCACGGCACCCGGCGGCGGGCGGCGCTGAGCCCGCTGGAGCTGTGAGTACGGGACGGGACGGAGGAGCGCCCTCCGCGCCTCCCGCGGCCCCGTAACCTCCGCGTCCGCAGGCTGCAGGAGGTGCTGGCGCTGGGGCTGCGCACGGACGAGGGCGTCACGCAGCAGGTGAGCGCCTGCCGGCCGCGGGCACCTCGCCGAGGAGCCGCCGCTGACCGCCGATCCCTCGCAGCGCTGGGGGCTCTTCTCCCCCCGCCTGAGCCTGGAGGCCGCGTTCGGGGCGTCGGGGGAGGCGAGAGAACTGCAGGAGCGGGGCTGGCTGCGGCTGAATGGGCGGTGAGTACCGGGACGGCGGTGCGGGCTCGGTGCGGGGCGGTGCTCAGGCGCTGCCTTTACAGGGCGCTGCGCTGCACGCCCGCCGGGCTGCCCCTGCTGGACTCGCTGCTGCCCGTGCTGCTGTACCAACTGCGGCGTCGCTGGAACGCGGTGGAGGAGGAGGACGGCGGGGGACGGGGATCGTGCTGAGGCCTCGCCGCGGCTGCGGGCAAGAAACGCCGTGAAACGCCGATTGTGGGGCCGAGGGAACGGCGGAGCGCGCGGCGCGGCCCGGGTGCCGGATGTTGCCGTCGTAGCTGCTGAAGAGTCAGATAATCTCAGTACCACCTCATCGGGTTCGGACAGACACCAGAGCCGAGGGTCACAGAGCAACTTGCTTCGTTGAACACGTAGGGCATAAAATAGCAATGAAGGCTACAACGATGTAACCGTCCACAAAGCCTCTGCTGTCTGTCTGTCTGTCAGTAAGTCCAGCGGCTGGACGGGATGATCTGCGTGACTCTGTGCGACGAAGCGCCGGGCGGGTCCGGCAGGCGGCGCTCGCGGCTCGGTGCGCTTCCGCTCGGCGCGTGCGCACGGCTCACGTGGCGGCACCATAGAGCGGCGGCGGCGCGGGCCGCTCTAGGCGCGCCTCTCGGTGGTGCCGCCGCGTTGCCATGGCGCCGGGCCGAGGGATGCCGGCGGGCCGCACGCTGCGGAGGCGGGAGGGACGCGGGAAGGGCCGGGCCGCGTCCCCGTCCCCATCCCCGTCCGGTGCGCGACCCGCTCCCCTCCTGTGAACCCGGGGCCGCATCCCGGTGCGGTGCGGCTCCCGGTGCTGAGGCGCTCCGGCCTTGTGCGTTTCAGAGCCGAAGGAGAGGAACCCGGCGCTCCCCGCAGAGCCGCGGCCCGCGCTGTGCCCGCTGCGGAGCGGCGATGTCCGAGCGCTCGCCGTTCGGCTGGAGGACCTGGAAAAAGTGCGTGTTTGTCCCGGCGCAAAAAGCCGCCTTCGCTGCACGGGTCTCCCGGTGCGCAGAGCTCCCGGCCCCGCCGTTGAGCACCGACCCGCTGTCTGAGCTCAGCCCGAGCTCCTCCTGCCCCCGCTGTCCGTCGGTTCCCGGCCCGCCACCGTCCCGCGGCTCGGCTCTCGTCAGCCGCCTCTGCTCCCGATGGGCTGGGAGGGGGCAGCGCCTGGCATCCACCGGCACGGGAAACGATCGGGAACTCCTGTCCCTGCCCCGGTTCTAACGTGGAGTCCAGAGGAGCGGGGTGGGAACTGAGCGGGTGTCTCCGCAGTCAGATAAGGCAGAGAGCGGCGGCCTCGGGCTGTGCCTGCGAGGTTCGGGTCGGGCAGTGGGAACAGTTCCTTCTCCCAGATGCGGTGGCACGGGGAGCCCCGGGGTGCTGAGCATCGCCGGGATGTGGCAGTGAGGGCTGTGGGGTGGATGACCGTAGAGGGCTCTTCCAACCCGGACGGTTTGTGGCTCTGTGCAGCATGTGATGAGAAGCGGCGTGTGCTGATAGGACTTCCCTGCGTGTCCCAGATGGGTCAGAAGGAACAAAGGAAAGTCAGTTTGTAGCTGACTGTGCTGTGATTGTTTCTTTCCTGCAGCTCCACGCTCCACGCCTGCCCCACGATGCTGGGAGGATTCCAGTCAGGAGGAAATTCCTGGTTCGGAAATACCAACCCAGAGAGGCCAAAGCAGCCCCGCGCCTCCTGGTAGCACGGCCGGCTTTCCCAAGGACAGCCAGGGAGCCGCTGTGTTTCTCTGGTAGGGTTAAGCTTCAGAGTTTACCTTTGATTTTTGGTTGTGGCAGGCCTAGATTTAGTGACCTGCCCTGGGGTCTGGTGTTTTTGTTGTAGGACCGGCACTGTTCGGTGAAGGCTGTGAAGAAATTCTTCCTCATCATGTTTTGGGAAGTCTCCAGGAGTTGAAGATGGAAGCCTTGGCCAGAGGAAATACTCAGGTCGATTATAAAATTGCTTTTCTAGAGGGGAATGTGATGTGATTTATTTCAGCACTTGTCTCAAATAGGGCAGGCTTGAGGTGTGGCGTTCCTTGTCATCGTGCTCTGTGGGGGAGGATTTGCCTCCAGAGAAACTGCACCAGCAGGTTTTGAGGTCCTGTGTGCAGGTGGAGGCTCTGGAGGGAACACTGATGCTGATGGCATCAGGCTACCATGGGAGGAGCTGGGGCTGCAGTAACATCATTGCTTGAGTTCAGTTACTTGGGTAAATCCATTGTTTTGAGTGTGTGCTTGGTGCCCCATCTTTGTACCTCTCTGATCAGGTAAAGGTACTGCAGGCTGAAGGATTCTCTTCTCCTCTCATCTTCCATTTTTTGTTGTGATGGCAGTGCATGCATTGTGAGGTCAATTCTACTGTTTTGTTTCTTTTCAGATAGCAGATTCCATTCAGGTTCCTCATCAGCCCGTTGCTGCAGCAGTTTTAAAAGAGAAACGTGGAGGAGAAACAAAGAGAAAATTTCATCAAACCCCAGCATCAGAACATAAAGCTCTGCAGAACTGGCACCATAATATGGCAATCAGGAAGAAGCAGGAGAGGTATCTGGGAGGTGAGAGGATTTGAGACCCTTTTTTGAGATTCTGTGTGCACCTGGGGCTGTTTGATGGCTCCACAACACACAGCAAAGGCCGGAGCCAACCAGGGTTAGTGCTGCTGCTGCTGCCTCCTGCCTCACTGTTGTCGGGGCTCCCCATGCTGTGGGTGTCCCTGCAGGGTGAGCTGCTGATTCTGGCTGCGGGAAGCACAGTGGATTTGATGAGGATGGTGTGAGGGGATTGCACACTGAAAATAGTAAAGGATTTTTAGTAAAGGACTTTTAGTAAAGGGCAGGAGAAGCGCAGTGCCTTTCGTATTCCTTTATAGAAATTCTTCAGAGGCCAGAGAATGAGCTGCTGATGAGCATCTCGGAGGATTACAGACAAATCCAGGAGGAACGGGACCTCATTGACCGTGGTCTCCCTGCCCTGTTTCCTGGAAAGGTGAGAGCCCCACTTCCTTTGCATCCTAATTGCTCTGTTCTTGTGAAAGAGCTTAGGCACTGCTGCCGCGAATAACGCCTGCACAGAGCTGTCTTCAGGTAATTGCCAAAGCCCTTCCAGCTGAGTCCTTCAGCTGACTGTGAGCAGAGCTCTCAGCGATTCTCAAAACGAAAACACGATCTGTGCTGCCTGGGCTACGCAGGGGAAAGCAGTGGCTGCGTGGCTCCTCCTTGCAAGCTGCTGAACTTGGGCTGGCCACGTGCGTGGCGCTGGGGATGTGCCACACGTTGTTCCAAGGCCAGAAAGATCTGATAGCTCGAGTTTTAGGGGGTTTAGAGGAGAGAGGGGTACAGGTAAGTGAGGACAGTTATGAGAGTATCCTTTGGTGTTTTTTTGTTGTGTTTTTGTTGCTTTTCATAGCACTGTAAAGTGTTGTAGCACTCGCTATAAGGTGCTGTAAGAAGAAGATCGAAGGACCTGCATTAATGTGATACATTAATATCATTCAGCTGCATGTAGCGCCAGGTAGAAGAAAGTCATCTTTTGTCTTTGACAACAGGCTGGTAGAAATTTGGCTTACCCTGCAGAAGGCGATTATTTATAGTCTTCTAAAATACCCACACAGGCAGAGTGAGATACCACCTTCTTTTCAGCTGCCAGTCCCTGTGCAAATAGCAAGCAGCTGCACGTCTCCAAGGGTGTTGGTTGGAGCCTGGTTTCCCCACAGGGCTACCGAGCAGGAAGCGAATTCTGGAGCCAGCCTGAGCGCATCGGGGACGAGCTGACCGGCCTGACGGTGACACTGACACGCAGAGAACGGGGCTGCCCACAGCCAGTCACTCATGTGGGGAAGCCCCACACTGTTCAGATGGAAACGGGTAAGGAAGTGTGGAGGGAGCGGCAGGACGAGGCAGTCGCTCCCAGTAGTACAGAGGCTGCTTCCCAGTGGCCTTTGGTTGGGCTGCAGGGAGCACAGGGGTGGTGCAGGCTGCTGCACGAGCGCTGCGTTGCTGTAAGTGCTGTGGCGCAGCCTGGGTGCAGGGATGCTCCTGTGTGCAGGGCTGAGTGAGATAAGGAGGCAAGAGGGTGAGTAGATGGTGAGCTCTTGTGGGTGTTCACATAGGCGTGAAGCCTCCACAGAGGATCCCTTTCCGTCTGACCTGGGACAAGAGTCTTTTCCTGAAACAGCGACGGCAGGAGCTAAAATCTATCCTAGAGGAGCTGGATTTTTATAAGCCAGTAAGTCTCAGGAGTGAGGATATTCTTTACGTCCCTCACCTCTTGTAAAGTGCTTTCGGGTAACACAAAATAGCTAAAGACTGAATCTGGAGAGGCATTAGGAACCCTATAAGGCTTAGCTCTGCAGTTCTTGTCTTGGAGGTTCCTGCGTTCCCAAAGGGCAGCAGCCATGAAGGAGATGCTTGGCCTCTCTGTGACTCATGGGCTGCCCTAGGGGCTTCAGAGCAGCTGAGCAGCAGCTTGCAGCTACTAAGGCCTTGGCAACAAAAAGACCAAATACTGGTAGGACTTCTGTTTTGTGCCTTACAGCAAAAGGAAGACATCTGCCCCTGTGGAAGGTTTGTGTCCGAGCTCTGAAGGCAGTTAGCCCATCCTGGGGCTGTGCAGAGGCTCAGAGTAATTCCTTACTCTCTTACACGTTTTTTGATAGGTCTAGAAGCTGTTGCAGGAGTGAGATGGCTGAACTTTACTTGATTCGCTTGCTGCGTTTGTCTGGAATTTGGCTTATTTTCCGTACAAAAAAGGAAGGTAAGAGGTGGTCACTGCTCTGTGTGTGCAGGATCTGGATGGCCTGGAGGTGATTGGCAAAGGGCGGCCGTTCACGTCTGTCTCAGCGCAGTCTCTTCCAAGTTCCACTGCTTTTGAAGATTCTGAGACCTCGTAAGTTTCATCTGATGGTGGCAGTAAGAATTTGGGGTGCACACCATCAGTCTGTAGGCGTCTCCTGAGCTGTTCTCATCCAGAGCAGAGAGGAGTCTCCAAAGGACACAGTAAAAATGTTCTGCCAGATGTAGGGATCAGGTGGTTCCTTTGTCCCTGGGGGCCTAATGACCAAGGAGCAAGAATCAGAAGAGTATTTTGAGGCCTTTCCTGCCATCTTCTCTGTGTGGCTCCAGAGCTCACAGCACTCAGGGTGCTTGGAATGATCTCCATAAGGTCGTCCTTTGCAGCCTTGCATCGTTAATCTGCCCTTTTTCCCTGCCCTGTTCATCTGCACAGGCACCTTAGGAGCTTTTCTCCTGCTTCACTCACATACCCTCGGCCTTCCTTAGGCTTCTCTTTATTGTCCTGTCCTCTGTGATGGTGACAAGTCCCTAGCTGGAGTTTGTTACCCACAGCTGCGGAGCTCTGTAAAAAGAGAGCTGTGCAGAAGAGCATTTTGGGGGATTATTTCTTATGGGGTTTCACAAATCACTGCAGGTTCTCCCACCTCTGAAAATGAGTTTCACTCCACAAAACACTGTCATTTTTTCAGCAGTGACTCCTTAAAGGACCGTGGCAGTGTGGTTTCAGAAGCAGTGCTGGGTCCATCTTTAGACTTCTGTGGCCAGCCGGCACGTTGGATCAACTGCATCACTTCTTGCAGGGTAATTGTGTGTTCTTATTGTTTAGTTGGACTGAGCTTGCTTGAGTTCCCCAGTCAGGGCTGTACAATGGGTGTCACGCTCAGGATGGAGAATGGGGGATTTGTTCTGAACATGGCAGCGTCCCCATGTCTGCTCCAGAAAGTTCTAGAAACAGGAATGATTGCTTTGTGGTGTGGAGCTCAGACCCCCAGAAGCCCTTTGTATTATGGCCGTTCTTTGGACCTGCCTTAACAGTTCTCCAGTCAAGGCTCAGCCCCTTGTTTGTGGTGCGGAGGAATCGTTACCTTTGTCCTTCGCTTTTTCCTTTCAGCATGAGGTTGGCATTGCTGCCAGGCTCACTTTTGAGACTGTGGTTGGTGAGAAAGCCGAGAGCTTCCTAACAGTGAGCAGTGATGGCACAGCTGCTGTCTGCTATGAGTGGAGGAGGCTCCTCCAGCAGATCCCTTCCAGAGAAACCGCGAGGATGTGCGTGCGGCGCTTTTACTTTGATGCCAGACCAGGTGTGAGAACTGCTGATCGCTGAGACCTTTGTGCACAGAGCATGGAGCAAACAGCCAGTTATCTGCGGTGCTGTGACTCACGGCACAGTGAGCCCTGGCTGGTTCTCAGCAGGCTGACTCACAGCAAACTGGGAGTGTGGGGCAGATCCCTTCCGTGGGACTGTAAGGAAAGAAGGTTGCTCCTGCTCTGAATGTCAATGGGTAGAATACTGAGAAGCGAAACACTTCTGATAGCAAACGGGGCATCATCGACCAGAGGGCGCTGAGTTCACTGTCAAGGAAGCGTGCAGCAGGAGCAGCACCAGCTCAGTAACACGGTGACTGGAGTACATCTGGAATTGAAAACAGTTGGATGGGGCGTGATAGCCAGCAAGGGCCAAGGGAGCCTCCTGCAGAGCTGAGGACGCTCACTGGGGGTTGGAAAAGGGCCAGGTGAACCAGGTGGTTTCTTACAGAGCGCTGCATTTTCTCTCATTTCAGGTGTAATTCTGCCTGGAGAAACCAGGAAGTTTTTTTTTCTTTTCAAGTCTGAGAGAGCAGGTGTTTTCAGTGAGTCCTGGGAGTTCAGGACACATCCTCTGTTATTAGGAGGAGCTCTGCTGCAGGTGACCCTTTGGGGAATTGCTGTGTGTGAGGATAAATTGGCTGACCTCAGAGGAGAACTGGAGGTAACCAGGCGTGTAACTGAGTAAATGTGAGCTTTGAACTTAACATGCAAATAGAGGACGAGGAAGGGAGTGGAGGACGGGGCATTTTTATTGCTATGCAATTAAGGCTGAGGGTGAGGTATTATTTTCTGAACATCTGTACCTACTTAAGCAGGTTTGCTAACTAAAATGGAAGAATCCTGCGGCACATTGCCATCGTGATAATAAAGATGTGGTTGTGCAGCTAAACTGCGTGCAGCGGCGCTTTTAAAAATGAATTTTCTATTTGTAGTGAACTCCATTAGTTGGTGGGAATAGCGTTGGGTATCACACAGAATGATGTTAGATAATAACTGAAAATTGCCCTGCTTAGTTGAGCGGGGTTTGCTGTTATCTTTGTCCTCGTAATCCTGCTTAACACATGTAGTTAGTGTGGGTGTCAACTGTGCTGCAGGCTGACCTGGCTGCTCGGGAGGGTGCAGCTATTGTAGAAGAGACTCTGAAGGACCTTCTGGTCCGAATTCGGACCCCCGAGCGCCCCCCACCTCCCGTGGGTCTGTGCATCACAGAGGAGGAGTTATTCCACAGGAAGAACCCCAAGGTGAGGTGTGTGGTTCAGTGGCTGCGCAGCTGCCGTAGCAGGGAAGGGAAGGCAGCGGGGCTGTGCACTCGGGAGGCTCCCGCTGCCTGCCGCAGCAGCGGTAACAGTTGCTCTGTCGAGGACAGGCGAACTCATTTTGCTATTCACCTTTTCTTTGTTACCGCAGTTGCATTACCGGCATCGAGAGGTAGAGCAGCTGCACGACCTATGGAGACGGCGCGTGGCTGCTCCGCCTGCCCTCGGGGAGGAGGCGCCTGCAGAGCCAGCGGAGGAGGCGGGGGCGCAGCGCGGCGTCGCCGAGGGGCGAGGGGCTGCTGCACGGGGCTCAGGCTGGAAGCGCGCGCTTGAAGCGACTCCGAGTCAAGTGGCAAACGTGGGGCAGCAGGAGCCCGGCCCCCCGTCGTGGAACTTCTCACTCGAGGAGCTGCAGCAGGTGGTCGCTGCGCCTCCCTCCAGCGTGGTTCCGTTTCCCTTGCAGCCTGGGTGCCCCGTGTGAGCCCACCCAGGGCTCTGCTTCCAGCCGCCTCCGAGTTGGGGCTGATTTATGGTGTGTGTCACAGAGAAGCGCTGCAGCGCTGCTGACCGCACCCTCGGTGCTCTTGTAAAGAAATCCCCCAGAGAGACCGAGAAGCCGCTGGGTGCAGAAGGAAACAGAACCAGACAATGCGGGGGATATTTTAAGCTCTTGCCCAATTAGCTTTCTGTCGTCCCAGAGCTGAACGGGGAGGCAGGCCGACCCACAGCCCCCTGTGGCTTCCCGGAGGGCTCTTCTCTGTGGGGAGTCCTGTTCTCCAGAGCACTGAGGGGCCGTCACACAGCCCGTGCAGAGAATACAGACCTCCTCAGATTAAAGCAGGAGTGGCTGGGGTTCTGTCAGCCGTTTTTCCGCACTGCTCTCTTGGAAACCTGTCAGCTGCTGTTCTGCTGTCAGGAGGCCTTCTGACCTGGTGCGGTCCTGTGCCCCAGTTGCAGAGGGATGTACTGTGCGTGGATGTAAGCGGGAGCTCGGCGCAGCACGGCTCACCCCCACGCCTTGACCAAATCTCAGGCTGTGTCTGGGTGTGGAGTTCCTGGTGCCAATTGGTTTCAGACTGGCTTCCAGGAAGAGAGCTGCAGCGTGCTGTGGTGAGCCTGGGGTGCAGAGGGCTGGGAAGGAGCGCTGAGAAGCTGCGTTTTCTCTCACCTCAGGTTCTGACGTCCATCCCCCAGGAGGAGCAGCGAGAAGCAGCGCTGTCCCAGCTCAACAAGGCAGTGCTGGAGCTTTGTGCTGAGCAGAGACCGACTCAGTCAGACCTTCTGTATCAAATGTGGTGCGTTGCCTCTGCAGGATAGAGCTTGCAGATGTCTCGAGTGATCAGCAGCGTAGCAAGCGCTGTTGCAGTGTTGTGATTCAGAGTGCATGTAATTATGTGAAATCTAGAAGTCTTTTTTTGTGCCCTGCTTTCCTACAGGCTAATTGTAGCAGCTATCTAATCCAAATGCCTTTTCTTTCTGGAGATAAGTTTAGAATATTCATGCAATTTTGGGGAGCATGCGGGGTTATTTCTGGTGAGATTATTCTAGGATATATTTATGAAATTTGTGGGTCGTGTTCTGTACCCTTTTACCAAATAACTTTATTCTCCCTCACACAGCTTCTCCGTTCTGTGCTGTCGAGCAGACTGTGCCATATTAACAGCTGCTTCTAAATCAGGAGGCAGATTCCTCCTGAACAGAGCGTGGATCAGGGCTGATTTACCACATGTTGTGTTGAGGAGCAGGAGGCCTAATTTCACAGTAGTATTTATGGGTTCATGTGAGATTTGCAAGCCATTGAGACCTCAGGAGGTCTAAGCCAAGGAAAGGAACGTCGTTTCCCTCTATGTGGGTTTCTCAACCTTGGGCACCGTTGGTGCAGTGGGACAGGGCAGCTCCTGGCTGCAAGGTGCCTTCAGGCCTGGCCGTAGGGTAGGACACAGTGGCTCTTTCCACCCCAAAATGCCCACCTGCTGTGCTGTCTCCCTTCTGTTTCTGGTGCTCTTCTCAGTCTCCAGCTGTGGCGTGAAGCAGTGGATGCGCTGGTGCATCACTCCCTGAAGCTGAGGTCCCAGCTTGGGTTGCCTGGGAGGGACGCCGATGTGGATGTTCTTCCAGAGGGAAGAGGTGAGTGGTGGCTTCAGCACAGCAGGAGGGGACTGTTGGCATCCCCGAAAAACTTCCTGAATTTCAACTGGGATGGCAGCTTCATCAGTTTCTCCCCAAAGCTTTTATAAGAAAATGCACCAGAGAAAACAGCAGAGTGTGGGATAAGAATTGTGTTGTGAGCTTGGCTGGTAAAAATGCACACAGAGAAAATATCGCAAGTAAGTATTTTAATTTCACTGCCTTTTAGTGCTGATTGTTGCACTGACAAGACCAAAAAATCATCTCATTTTCAGCCGCTTTATAGACTTTGTTCTGATGAATGTTTGAGATCTGTTTGTTTCTTATTTAAACAAACTACTCCAAGCAGGAGGAGTTTTTCAGTGCAGCGTAGCTCAGATCAATAACAAGAGGAAAATACACTGCAGAAATACTATGTTTACATTCCCTGAGTGCATTGGGGGTGTCCTTCTGGATGTAAGTGTTGCTTTTAGGTAACTGGAGTCAGTTCTTTCCTAGGGGAAGTAAAGCAGCCAATAGAAGGAGGAGAAGACGGCAAAATAACCAGGAGAAGAGAAGAGAAAACATCGGTTGGTGGTAAGGATAAAGAAGACAAAAGAAGAAGAACGAAGACTGCTGGAAAAGAGAAGGAGGTTTGTGTTGGGATGCCTGTGGAAAACAGAGCATCGTGTTCTGAAGACAGCGTGGTGCCCTGTGAGGCTGCGCGCCCGAGTTGGAGCTGATCTCCAACCCGTGACACATGCTGAAAGGTGTCTGAAAGGTGTTCTGATCTGTGCCACTGCTTTTTCCCCCCCATCCCTTGAATAGGAACGCCCGAACAGCAGAAAGTCAAAAGTAAAAGAGAAGAAGCTGAAATCTTCCAGCTCGTCCGAAAAAGAGGTGGCACAGCCCCCAGGAGCTGCAGCTGCAGGCGCTGTCACAGCTCCGCGGGAGCAGACGGACCCCATGGTTTGGGGGCTGTACCAGGAGAAACTTTACGTCCAAGTGAGTCTGGCCAAAGTTTGTACCTTCCCTTCTGCTTTTTGTTCTTTGCTTATAAACCGACCCTGGGCTGCAGCTGGAGAGCCGAAGCGTTCTGTTCAACTAAAGAACTGACAGCTGTGTGTCTGTAATTCTGTGGCAAGGTAAGTGTGACGTGAAGCCAGATGGCCTTGATTCCAGGCTGGAAGCCATTAACATAAAGCGGCCACCGCATCGCCACGCGCGGGATTTCTGTCTGGATGCCTTTTGCACTCTTAGGGACTCTCGAGGGAGCAGCAGCATTAATTGTATCTCAGACAATGTTAAACACACCTCATAGCCAGGAAAGCTATTACTGGAAGTAGGCAGCCGCTTCTCTGTGACTGTGTCCGTGCCCATACACTGCTGCACTCCTGTGTTGGAAACCATCTCTGCTCTGTCCATCTGGTCATCAGGATTTCATCACTCATCTTCACTGCATGTATCTTCTGTTAACTTCTGCTGCAGGTTTATGGGCTGCTGGATTCCATGGTGAGCAAGATGGTTTCTTTATTTGAAGAGCTAGAACAAAACACGGCGCTTTGAAGCGGGAGAGTGAAGCCTTTTGTAAGTAGAAATAGACTTAGTGAATAAATGGCCATGCTTGCACAAGACAGGTGGATGTTGTTCTTTCTGAAGGGATGGAGCAGTCACAAATGCTGGAGTGCCTCTTTCCTGACGTGCTGTGATGTGAGCCGGTCATGAAATCATCTGTTGGTTCTGCAGGTGGTCAGGGAGCATTGTAGCCTCAGAAACCATAGCATCAAGAAAATGCTGGTGTTCCTGCTGGGGAAGGCAAACTTAAAGATGCCAGTCAGCTGAAGAGTTGTGTTATCCTCTGTGTTTCAATCTGTGCTGTCTAACAAGCGAGCAGAGGCTGTCCCATGCACTCGTGGGCCCAAGTACCAGGACTTAGGGAAGTCCCTCTTATTTCTGATCGTGTTCCTGGCTGCTCATCCAGTCTCCCCGCAGGTCTCCCTGACAGCAGGAGCTTTGGGCTGTCAGCATCTCTGTGAAAGTGCACATTTCCACCTCACCTTTCCTTGCATACGTGCCTGTTTCATATGCTGATCTTGCTATCTCTTGCTATCCATTTAATGTATCCGTGCCCAATTCAGAGTTAATTCTTACTCCGAGACTCATTACTCTTGAATAGAAATGAGGAAATCTGTGCTCCAGCTGCAGAGAGCAGGCCTGGCTCTGTGCTGGAGCCGCCCTTCCTGCCTCTGCCAGCCTACATGAGCCTGTCACCTTCTGACCGGGCCTCCTCGTGCACCGCAGCTGGGCTGGAGCGTTCCCTGGAAGCACAGCGGGGCTGTGCAGGTTTCCAAGGCGGAGCTGTGGGTGTCCCATGGCCACGTGCCACTGCAGGGCCATCTTCCTGCTGGAGCAGCCGGACGGCATTCCCCAGGGAGGCTTTGGCTCCGTGAAGAAATGACATCAGTGCAGATCATTAATTTAGGTTCATGATACCTTTGAGGTTCTTAGACAGCAGATGCGTATCCATGCTAAGCATGACTGTTCCAGATTCTGCACATCGCTGTGCGGTTACTCCAGGCTTGTGTGCCTCGGGCACCTGCTGGTTTACTTGGAGAACCATGCTGCCATGCGTCTCAGAGCCTCACGTAGTGCAGAACTCTTCCCTGTGCTGAGGTGCTTTTTGTTTCTCCTTGTAACTTGCATCTCGGGGGGATCTGCTGTTCTTCCCCTCTGTTCCTGGCAGCGCTGTGTTGAATGCAGCCCGGCTGTGCTGCGTGCAGCCCTTCGTGTTCTGACACCTTACAGGGTCAGGAGAAGCACTTTGGCTTCTGTGGAAAGGAGGAACCCCTTCTGGCTTAGTGGGCACTGAACCACAGAGGGAATGTCTGTGCTCAGCATTACTGCAGTGAGGATTTCAGCAACAGTTTGAGAATGAGAGGGGAAAAAGGCCCGAAGTTGGGGTGTGTCGCACAGGCTCTGACAACAGCTCCTGCCTTCCTGGAGATGCTTATCGGCCTGCAAGTGTGCCCAGCTCACACAGCTCCAGCCATCTGTTCTCAAGGCAGGAGAGAGACTGCACGTGACAGGATGGCGTGGTCGCCTCACAGTGCTTGTGTTGGGTGGTCTCACCCCAAAAGATGGGAAAGCCCATCCCAAGGACCTGCAGCTCCAGTCCAGCCTGGAGAAACCAGGCTCACCTCCACCTCTGCTCACCGCAAAGCTTGTCAATAAACAGAGGGGAGTTTCCTTTGGATCCCATAGCAGGGCAGAACATCACGTGCCGTTCTCTCTTTCCCTTCCACGGGAGAAGCCAGGTGGCAGAGGGCTGCTGCCCTGACATTTCTGCAAAGGAGAAGAACAGACATGCAATGAGTGGTGCTGGTGCACCAGGACTTTCCCTGAGCCAACACTCAGTGGGGCAGGGGAGGGCTGGGCAGAGGGCAGCATGCAGCAGCTCCCTTCTTGCCTTTTGCACTGCTTTGTGCAAGTTCTGCGCCTGGATATGGGGTGAAATCAGAGCTGGTTTCCAAAGGGCACTCTTAGAAACACGTACCCCTGTTTACAGCCTGCTGAGCCTCCTGTCTGCCTTTGGACAGAAGGGGTGGGCAGTCCCCTGCCGTGCCAGGCCCAGCACCGGGCTCAGCCCACACTGTTTGTGTCTGTTAATCATTGCTGCTGTTTGCTGCCTCGCTGAGGTGAGCGACCTTCCTGCCCTGTGAGCTGCCAACCGAAAACCACGCACGTGTGGGGCCAGGAGACACCATAACTGTGAGAGGGGCTGGGAAAGGGTTCTGGGAAAGCACCTCCCCAGAGGCTGCAGCTGCAGAGCAGCCCGCCTGCCCAGGGCTCACCGCTACTTACAGCCGGGCTGCAGCCCACCCAGCAAACCCTGCGCCGGCACAGCGCCTGGAGGGCTGCAAGCTGGGCCTGTCTGCTGGGACTGACTTGGCCGGGCTGACCTGGAGGAGGGTTTGGGTGCTGGGAGGGCTGTGATGCTCGGTGTGCGTTCAGCTCGTGCGGCCAAACCCCGTGGGAGGTTCAGCTGCCAGATGTGCGGTGCGTGGCTCTGCTTTCCTCCCTGCGTGACCCAAAGCAGCGCCTCAGCCCAGAGCTGCATCTCCGCTGTGCGGCGCGAGGAAGGCAGACCTCCAGAAAGCCTCAGCACCCAGGAAAGCTTTCTATTATGGAAAATGTCAGCGCTATTAAAAAGATTATATATATCCATAATGTTAGAAAGCCTGTCGCTGATTAAAATGGAAGGCAGAGGCCGGGGGAGCGGGGGTGGCACCGAAATGATCGAGAGACTTATTTTGTAATGTCATCCGATGCCTCCTCTGCCCCCAGCCGGGCTGCGGGAGCTGCTCGGGGCAGGGGAAGAATCTGCTCCAAATTTAGATCCGGGCAGACATTGCAATGAACTCGGATCGCCGCGGCAGCCTCGGGTACCAGCGAGGGAGCTGCATTGCTGGGCGGGGTGGGGGGAGGACGGGCAGCATCGTTCAGAGCACATCCGAGCGCGGGGATGGCTGATGGCTGATGGCTGATGGCTGCTTTCTGTCTAAAAATAATGGGAGGAAAAAAAAAAAAAAAAAAAAAAAAAAAAAAGCTTGCAGCGAACAGCGCCTGGCTGTCTGCCATGGGGGGCAGTGACGGAGCATTCCAGCATCCCCGCCTCCCGCATGCGGCGGGTTGGGGCTCGGCGCCGCATCCCCGCGGCCCGCAGCGCACCGGGGGGGCTGAGCGCGGCTGCCCGGGGCCGGGGGGGCCGTGCCGGGGCTCGGGCGGCCCCGAAGGGGTTAAGGCGCGCGGCCGGACCTGCCCAGCCAGCCCGGCGGGTCGGCGGAGCGCGGCGGACGGCGGGCGGGTAACGGCCGCCTCCAGCGCTTCCACCGGCACCGGGGAATCGGCGGCGGATCGGCGGGGCCGCTCTCCGCGTAGGTAAGCGGGAGGAGGGAGGGCGGACGGACGGAAGAAGGTTCTGGAGGCGGGAGCGCCGCGGGTTGCGGAGGGCCGGCGGTGCGGTGCCGCTGCTCCGGGCAGGGCCCGCGGCTGCCCGAGTCCCGCCGGCACCGGGGCGGCTGCGGTCCCCGAAGGGTTCCGGTGCTCGGGGCCGGGTCGCTCCTCGCCGCTCCCTCCATTTCGTGCGCCGCTCCTCCCAGCCCCGCACCTGATTAAAGATGAAGCGAGCCTTCCCTTCCTCCCTGCCATGTTCCCCGGCCTCCCCGGCTCGCTTCCCGCTCTGCCTTTTCCCCGTCCTCCCCTCGGTTCTCTCTTTCCCCTTTCCTGCGCGCTCCCGGCCGCGTTCCCCCACCTCCGCTTCACCTCCGCGGTCCCCGTGCCGGGACGCAGCGATGAGGACCCGTCCCGCCGCCCTTCTCCCACCGGGCAGCCCCGAGCTCAAGGTCACTGCAGTAATTCCATACGGCTGCCGCCTTATCTCCCGCACAGCTTCTATTTCACCGCCTTTATATTCTGGGGAACGCTGTGCCGGACAAAACCTTCTCTTCTCTGCAGCGCTTCAGCCCGGGCCACGCTCCTCCCCCCCATCCCAGCCCCTTCTCCATCTCTCCGCACGCAGCATTCCCAGGAAGGCCGCGCAGGTCCATCTGGACCGGCTTCCCAGCTCGGTCCCGTATCGCTGCGCTGGGGCCGTGCCCGGCTCTGGGAGCTGCTGGCGGCAGGAGGGACGTCCTGCCCCGCAGCACCGGGCTTCGCTGGGCCGGCGGCGCGGCTTTATCTGTTCCCGAGCGCTGGCAGCAGGCACGGTGCGGGTCAGAGTCCCGGAGGACTTTGCCGCACCGCCGCCCTCATCCCAAAGCATTCCCGTGCCAGGCGAGACGGATCCAAAGGCCGCGGCGCCGGCAGCACTGCGGAGGGGAATCGGGACAGGGAAGTGTCGGGTGAGAAACTTCAGCCGGCCGCGAGCGGCAGAGCCGGCTGCGTGACTCACGGGGACGGCCGAGCTGCGGTGCCGGAGGTGCCGGACCGGCTGCGAGGCTCGCGGGTTCTGCCCGTCGGCTCCGCGGTGTCGGCAGCCGGGAGAGCCGCGTGCCGGGGCTGCGGTGCGGGGAGGTGCTGGGAGCCGAGGCGGCTGTCGGCTGCCGGTCGCTGCTGTCTGTGCGCTGTGCTGCCGAGATAGGCCCGGGCCCGCCGGCTTATCGCAGAACTGCCGGTGAGTTCTGGTGCGGGAGCGTGCGGGGCTCCACCCGGTGCCAGCAGCCCCTGCCTGTCGGCTTTGCTGATCCCAGGGATCAGATGGGGATCGCGGTGCTTTCCCAGCTGGCGGCTGAGGGGTCAGGGAACAGAGCTGTAATGGGGTCATGAGGAACAGGCGCACTGCAGCCTGTGGTTTTGCAACCTCCCTGCGTGGCCCATGAAGGACGGGCACTTACAGGCAGGAAGGGATCGGGGCAGCTCCTGGTACTGGCATGGCAGGGCTGCACGGTGACAGCCTGCAGGACAGGCTGCCTTTGGGGGCCCTGCTGATAGTGATACCGGTGTGGGTCGCCAGGAGCATTGCCACCACATTGCAGCAGCAGCCTCCCCAGTGCACGGGAGGCTCAGGCACAATCTGGGGCTTTGAAAAGGCTTTGTGTTACCTGCTGATTGCTGGAGAATAGCACTCTGACTCAGTGACCCCGTGGTTCCTCCCCAGGAGCAAAATATCCATGTTTGCTGGGAGAAATGACCCGAATAGCTGCAGGTGCCAGTAGGTCAGGGCAGATTCGGAGTCACACTGGGATTGGTCTTTGTGTGGTGCATTCTGGTGGCACTGGGAGTCTGGAAGCCACAGCGGGGCTGCAGGCAGCGTGCTGGGGGCTGGTGGGGCTGAGGCCTGGAGGCAGCTAGGGGCTGGAGGAGGGAGCTGCCATTTTCAGGTGGGTGCTTCTCACAGCAGAAGCGCCTGGTAAAAGCTCATCCAAATGTTGCTGAATCTGAAGCCAAATCTCTTGGCAGCTCTGCATTGCTAGCTATTGGTTTTCTGTACGATTCTTTCCCATCCGGCATCCCGCCTGTTTCTGGTGAGTGAGAGCAGCTCACACCATGGCAATGGGCAGTTCCACCTTGAGAAGTGCCCGAGGTGCTACGGGATGGGGCTCTGGTGCCTGGGGTGGTGCTGAGCTGTCTCCATTCCTCACTGCAGGCACTGGTGAGGCTGTGAGCACCCGTTCCATCCCTGCTGTGCGCGCCCGCTGTCAGCGGGTCCTGGGCACCACGCAAAGATGACCACCTCGGCCCTGCGCCGGCAGGTGAAGAACATCGTGCATAACTATTCGGAGGCGGAGATCAAGGTGCGAGAGGCCACCTCCAATGACCCCTGGGGACCCCCCAGCTCCCTGATGTCGGAGATCGCGGACCTCACCTTCAACACGGTGGCCTTCGCCGAGGTCATGGGGATGATCTGGCGACGGCTGAACGACAGCGGCAAGAACTGGCGGCACGTGTACAAAGCCCTCACCCTGCTGGACTACCTCATCAAAACCGGCTCCGAGAAGGTGACCCACCAGTGCCGGGAGAACCTTTACACCATCCAGACGCTGAAGGACTTCCAGTACGTGGATCGTGACGGCAAGGACCAGGGCATCAACATCCGGGAGAAGGTGAAGCAGGTGATGGCGCTGCTGAAGGACGAGGAGCGGCTGAAGCAGGAGCGGGCGCACGCGCTGCAGACGAAGGAGCGCATGGCCCTGGAGGGGATGGGCAGCGGCAGCCATCAGTCCACCTACGGCCGCCGCGCATCGCCCTACGGGGACGACTATGGCCGGACGCGGGGCTCACCCTCCTCCTTCAACTGTGAGTCCTGCCCTGGGGGCCGGTGGGGAGGACGCTGTGCCGGGTGCGCTCCCTCTTTCTGGGAGGCGATGTTAAGTTGCCCTGAACTCGTGGCTCATTTGAGGTTGTAAGCATTTATGCGGGGTACGTCCCCTTGGGAGACAAGACGCTCTGGAGCTGCAGATGTGGATGGGATTGGGAGGAGGCAGACAGGTGGCTGATCTCCCCGGAGTCCCAGCACCACTTCTTCACCTGTTCTTCTTTTCTCTCCTAGCATCTTCCTCATCCCCACGGTTCGCCTCTGACCTGGAGCAAGCGCGTCCCCAGACAACGGGTGAGGAGGAGCTGCAGCTGCAGCTCGCCCTGGCAATGAGTCGGGAGGAGGCCGAGAAGGTAGGGCGGTGCGGCGGGGCTGCCCTGTACCCAGGGCTTTGGCCATTATGGAGAAGGGGTGGCTTGGGGCTGCCCGACGCCTGTGCACTGACCCGCAACTGCATCGGGCTGCTCGCGCTGTGCCCGCCTCCCAGTCACAGCAGCGTGGAGGCAGCACCATGGATGAGACACAGGCACGTGCGCTTCTCCTGGACCCTGGGATGGCGGGGGGGCCCTTCTTCATTCACCAAACCTGGCTGACTTCCACCGAGGGCTTCTGGTCCTGACACTCATTTCTGTCACTTTTGTCAGAGGCCATTTGTGCAGAGGATGCCTCTGCCCGTGGCTGCTCCTTTCGAGCAGGGGGAGCTGTGCAGGGATGTGGGCAACCAACAAGCTGTGGCCTCAACTGCAGTGCCTCCTCCAGGCCCGTCCCCTCTCCTATCTGCTCCACGGCCCCGTTTCCTTGGGGACAGATTATTTGCACGCCGGCTGAGATTGTCGCTGGCTGGCACGGTGTGTGTGGAGCACACGGGGACGGCCAGGCACACAAAGGACGCGGTTGCCAGCGGGTGTCCCCACACGTGGGCAGTGTCCTTGGGCAGGCAGCACCGTGTCCTCAGACCTGCCGGACTAGGAGACATACTTCTGGCACAGCACTTAGCACTGCCCGCTTTCCCTGCCTGGTGGAGACTGAACAGCATGTGTGTATCCCTATTTCTGTCCTGGAAATGCAGTATTTATAGCTTCCACATTCTGCCGTGCTGAGAGCTGTAGGAACATGCTCTTGAAAGCACTGCCTGTTGGAGACCACCTGGGCTGTGCACATTCCTGCACGCGTGTACAGCCGTGCACACACACAGACACCCCGCATCAGGGCTGCCACGGTGGTACGGGGATGAACCCCCCCAAGAGCTGCCTTGGCTGTGAGCTTCTGTATGGGGCAGACCCTGAACCCGGGCCGTCTGGGGCTCCCAGTGCTGGGCTCAGCGGCGAGGGGCCGCAGGGTGCTGGCGGTGAGGATGGCGACCACCGAGCCGCTCGGCAGACTGAGGTCCAGCTGAAATTTCACCCGATTTCCTCTGTTGGCAGAAGCCACTTCCTCCAATTTCCAGTACAGATGAAGAAAGGCAATTGCAGCTAGCGCTCGCGCTGAGCAAAGAGGAGCATGAGAAGGTACCCGTGCCCTGCAGCCCTGGGCGCTCCGTCTCTCGCACTTGGGCTTCTCTCCGCCTCGCGCAGCAGCCCCGCTGCTGGCAGCACTCGCTTTGCTTTCCCTGCCGTGGGGCCGCTCGCTGTGCACTCTGCTGGCGCTCAGCCCGGAGGAGCCCTCTGCTCAGACGCTGGGACTTTTGGGGGATGCGGTGGCAGCTCCTGCGCTGGCTCTGTTTCCTGGAGAAGGCTCTTGCTGCGGGACTGCTGGGGCTCACGGCCCCGTTCCTTGTTCCCTCCCGCAGGAGGTGAGGGCATGGCAAGGGGAGAACTCCCTGCTGCAGAGAGCCTTGGAGGAGACTGCCCAAGGTGGGGAGGAAGAGCAGGAAGAGGATAAGATGAAGAAAAGCCAGGTGAAGCACCAGGGGCCGCACATGTAGCCTCTTAAGTGATGCTGTGGCCCTGGGCTGGGCTCTCAGGTCAGCCCTGGGCTCCCCTCACTTCTTTATTCCCTTTCTGTTTGCAGTCCTCTATCCTGGAGCTGGCAGATATATTCGGGCCGGCACCAGCTCCTTCCAGCCACACGTCTGCTGACCCATGGGAGATGCCAGGTGGGGGCTGCTGAAGCTTGGGGCGGCAGCACACTCCTCTCCCCTCCTCTGTCCCTGTCCAATTCCAAATGTTCCACAATGACCTTTGGCTTCTCCTCCCTCCCCTGCCCTGTCCTTTGTACATCTGGGTGGCGGTGCTGATGGGAATCCACAGTCCCTGAGTGCATCCCTGATATGCGGCATTCTCTTATCTTTGGTTTCCCTTTTCAGATATGAAACCCAAAGCGGAGCCAGCAGCCTGGACTGGCACAGCAGACCCCTGGGTGCCAGTGCTATCCAGCAGTGGGGAGCCCATGCCCCAGGCAGGCACTACATCCCAGCAAACAGCTGCTGGGCCCTGGGATTTCCCCCCTGCCTCTGCTGATCCATGGGGGAAGGCGGCCGCCTCGTCTGGCTTCACCCCTGCAGACCCTTGGACAGCCACGTCCCCACTGGCCCAGGGCTCCGGCACTACGCCAGCCACTGACCCCTGGGCTGCTGTGGCTGAGCCTAACCCTAACCCTGGTAAGCAGCTTGGGTGGTGATGGGGTTTTGCTAGGGACCGTGCATTGTGCTGGCTGTCCCTGACAGCTCGGGTGCCCCCCCTTCTCCTGTAGCCAGTTCTGCCATCCTGCAGGACCTCCTTGGTGTGCTGAAGACTTCAGGGAACCTTTTGTTCCAATGCAAGCTAGTCAGGCTGTTGTAATTACCGTGGCAGCTAATGAAGCCCTCCCAGAGGAGTGCTCTTACAGTGGGCTGATGTTCCCCTGTTGATACCTACTGGCTTGGCCCCTCTTAAAACAGCCCGCGACAGGACGGTTGGTGTCTGCAGGTGCGGTGCTGCAGATGGGGGCTGTTTATAGGAGAAATCTGTGTTTCTGAGCTTGGTGCTGCTCTCACTTCCTCCTCGGCTGCTTCCTCCCACCTTGTGGCAGTCCTGTGTCCACTGCCCACAACACATGGGGAGGTGCCCAGACTTTTGGTCCCAAGAGGCAAGAGCATAACCAGAGCTGGATGTAAGCGCTGGTCTTCAAACCATCACCTCGTGCTTTTTTCCTCCTGGCTGTGCTGCCTGGGGGTGTTTTCCACTCAAGGCCAGGCTCCCATTCTGGCCCATCCTGGTCTCTGGGCTGGTGCGTGCACTGACTGCAGCCCCACACGCCTCCCAGCCTTTGCTCCCCTCCTTGAGTCTCACCTCTTCCCCCCAGCTTCAGGGGGGGATGCTTTCGACCTGTTTGCAAAGCAACCCGAGGCAGCTGAGCAGCCGGAGATGGAGCATTCGCAGCCGCCCTCCTCGGTGAAGTCCAGCAGCCCTGCCGGTAAGCGGAGACACAGGGCAGCATGGGCAGGGGGTGACGTTCCTCCATCCCCGTCCCTGCTTCCACAGCCAGCCTGGAGCTGCTCCCACATTTGTGCACGGCTCCTTGCGGTGTGGCCAAAGGCTGTCCCGTGTGCACCCCACAGTCGGGGGGGTGTCGGGGTTGCCTGCGGTCGGCGCCCAGGCAGCCCACTGACAGCCCTCTCCCCCGCCGCAGAGCTGGACCCTTTTGGCGACCTGTTCCCCGGCACCAAGCAGGACCCGGCCAAGAGCTTTGACCTCGCGAACCTGGCCGACTCGCTGCCCGAATCCTGCAAGGAGCGGAAGGACTGTAAAACCCCCGAGGCTTTCCTCGGCCCCGCCGCCTCCTCGCTGGTCAACCTGGACTCGCTGGTGGCACCGCCGCAGGCCGCCAAGACGCGCAACCCCTTCCTGTCGGGTGGGTGCCGGGCTGAGCCGCGGGGCGGGATTGGGGCGCGATTGGGGCGGGATCGGGGCGCGGCGGCCGCCTGACGCCCCCCGTATCTTCCCGCAGGTCTCAGCACGCCGTCCCCCACCAACCCCTTCAGCCTGGCCGAGCAGCCCAAGCCCACGCTCAACCAGATGCGGACCGGCTCCCCGGTGCCCGGCCTGCCCGCCGCCCTGCCCGCCAACGCCATGACCTACAGCGCGTCTCTGCCGCTGCCGCTCAGCAGCGTCCCCGCCGCCCTGCCCGCCTCCGCCAGTGCCTTCCCGCAGGCGGGGGCCGGGCCGTTCCCCGAGCTGCCCGGCGCTTTGCCGCAGCCTCTGCTGCCGCTGAGCGGCCCCCCGGCCCCCCAGGGAGGGCTCAACCCCTTCCTCTGAGGGCTGCGGGCCGGCACCGCGGGCGGGCTCTCGCTCCTTCCCGGCCGTTCCCCTGCCGCTCCCACCGCCGGGGACGGCAAGCAGCGCGAGCCGCCCGCAGGAACCGCGCCCGGAGCGTCGGCGGGCTCCGGGACTTGTCCGCTCTGCGCGCAGCGCCTCGGTGCGCGGCCGGGAACGGCTCGGCGGGGCGGGGGGAGGCCCTGGGGCGGACGGACGGTGCCTCCTCTTCGCTCTTCTGCCCTGGAAACGCCCCGTTCCTCTTAACGTGCTGCCCTCTCCGCGCGGCTCTCGGCCGGTTCGCGCTCTCCCCGCTCTGGATGTTACTCCGCTTGGGCACCGTGTCCCCGCTCTCCAGCCCGGGTCAGCCCCGCCTGCGAGCCCTTCGCAGTCCTCCGTGCCCCCGGATCCCGCGCAGAGCCCGGGCCGGGCGCTCCGCCCTACGGGGAGCACCGGAAGCAGCGCTCGGTACCGCGGGCAGCGCTGCTCGGGGGGGCGGCCGTTGCGTCGTGCTTCAGCGCGTGCAGCCGGCAGCGCTGCTCCACGCGGGATGACTCCGCGTCCGGAACCGCAGCGGCCGCCCCGGCATTCGGGAACCGTGAGCTGACCGCCACAATAAAGTACCGGAACGGACACCGCTTACCGGCCTCTTACCGCTCTCTCCGCCCCGCGCGGGGCGGGCTCGGCTCGGCTCGGGGGCGGCCCCAGGAACGCAGTTTGGTGCCCGGCTCCGCCCCTCCCCCGCCGCCATGTTCGCGGTGCCGCTGCGCAGGGCCCGCAGGTATGGGGGGGAGCCGGGGGACGGAGCTGGGAGCGGCCGAGCGGGGGGAGCGCTGCGGCACAGCGTGCATTGCCGGCCCCGCGCCCTGCAGCGCCCTGCCTGCCGCTCCGTGCCGCTCCGTGCCGCTCCGTGCCGCTCCGTGCCGCTCCGTGCCGCTCCGTGCCGCTCCGTGCCGCTCCGTGCCGCTCCGTGCCGCTCCGTGCCGCTCCGTGCGCCCCTTCTGCTTGCCGGAGTGCTACCCGCTTCCAGTGCACTGCTCTGGATACTCCCTGCCCCTCTTCCGCATCCCCTGAATCCTCCCCGTGCCCTCTCCGTATTCTCTGCGTTCTCTTGAACCCCCTCCCAGACCTCTGCATCCTTTCTGCGTGTCCCGAAGAGCTCCCTGCGCCTCCTCTTATCCTTCCTGCTATCTCCTGCGTCGTCCCTTTTTTCCGTGTGCCTCCTTCGTTCCCCTGAATCCTCTCTGTACCCTCTGCACGCCTGTAAATCCTGCGTCCTCCCTTGCATCCCCTTAAATCCTGCTTATATCTCCTCCTGCCTTCCTCCCCCCTGCATTTTCCCCTTGCACTCCCTTTGCATCTCTCCTATATCCTCTGTTTTGTGACTGTGTTCCCACCACGTGCCCTTCCTGCACCCCTTGCTGCTACCCCCATACCTGTGCACCCCTCCCTCTGTGCACCCCAGCACCAGGAGGATCCCCTTGTCCCCCTCCCAACGCTGGGGCAGAGCCCAGGAGGGGTTTCACTGGTTTCACGAGGGCTCTGGCTGTGCAGCGTGCCGGGGACACAGCACCCCACATCGGGCTCTCCCCGTGGGCAACAAAGTGGGCAACAAAGTGAATTAACGAGTGAATGAACGAACTAATGAGCACATCCCGTGCTGCAGGCCGGTGTTCCTAGCGGGCAGCATGGCCATGGCCACGGCCGGGAGGAGCAGCCCGGCCCGCCCCGCCAACCGGCTCATCTACGAGAAGTCCCCGTACCTGCAGCAGCACGCCCGCAACCCTGTGGACTGGTGAGAGCGCACCGAGCCCTTCCTCCTCATCCTCCCCTAGCAGGGCTGGCACCAGGAGGCTGCTGCCTGATGTGCAGCTCCAGAGTGGGCCCTGATGGCAGCTGTGCCCCACGGGCTGCTCCTTGTCCTCTGCAGGTACCCGTGGGGTCAGGAAGCCTTTGATAAAGCAAAGCAGGAGAACAAGCTGATCTTCCTGTCAGGTAACTGGCAGCCAGGTGTACCTTTATGTGTCCCAGTCGTAAATGAGCTGCGGGGTGAGGCTGCCCGGCACTCATTCCTTCCCACTGAGAGCCATAACAGCTCTGTTGGAAGGTGGGCTGCGTTCAGGGGCCATCGTGGCCACCGAGGCCCTTGTCCTGGGAGAGCTGAGGAGTGCAGAGCAGCAGGTGAGCCAGAGGGATGCCTCTGTGCTGCTCCTGCACTCTGTATGGCACAGAGCTGTGCTGGGGCGTGGGGCTGGGAAAGGCTGTGCCCCAGAGAGCGGTGGGCACAGCAGGGGCTGTGCTGGGTGCTGGGGCTCCGCTGTCAGGCAGCGGGGTGGAGGTGGGGCGGTGCAGTGTGGTGTCCCTGTGCACCCATCCCGGCTGCTCCGTGGCTCTGTGGCCTCACCCTGCGTGCTGCGCTCGCTTTCAGTCGGGTACTCCACCTGCCACTGGTGCCATGTGATGGAGGAGGAGTCCTTCAAGAACGAGGAGATCGGTGAGATCATGAGCAAGAACTTTGTGTGCATCAAGGTGGACCGTGAGGAGCGGCCGGACGTGGACAAGGTGTACATGACCTTCGTGCAGGTGGGGGAGCGCGGCAGGGCTGGGGCACGCTCTGCCCTTCTTTCTCGAGGTTCCTTTCTGTGTTCCCGAGGAGCCCCCCATGAGATCCTTCTGCCCCATGTCCCCCAGGCCACCAGTGGCGGCGGGGGGTGGCCGATGAGCGTCTGGCTGACTCCGGACCTCAAGCCCTTTGTTGGGGGCACGTATTTCCCCCCTGAGGACAGCGCTCATCATGTGGGCTTCCGGACCGTGCTGCTCCGCATCGCAGAGCAGGTCAGCGGGCAGCTGGGGGCGGTGCTCAGAATTGGGGTGGTGTCGATGGGGAGCAGCCACGGGAAGCAGAGGCTGAAGGAGGGTGGGTGGGATGGGGGTGAGGGTGGGGATGGAGTGGGGGTGGGGATGGGGATGCGCTGCGCAGGGGGAGGGCACTGAGAAATGCAGACAGAGGTTGGGTTGGGAGGCAGAAAAAAGGCAAGAAGAGGAAGCATTGATTTTCTCACCGCCGCTCAGTGGAGGCAGAACCAGGAGGCCCTGCTGCAGAGCAGCCAGAGGATCCTGGAAGCGCTGCACTCCCTGTCCCGGGTCGGCACACAGCAGGCAGCCCCCCCGGCCCTGGAGGTGCTGACCACCTGCTTCCAGCAGCTCTCCGGCTCCTACGACGAGGAGTATGGCGGCTTCTCACAGAGCCCCAAGTTCCCCACACCAGGTCAGTGTGGTCCCTGTGGCTGAGCCTGGCCAGTGCACAGAGCTCACTCTGCAGCCTGTCCCTGTCTTTCAGTGAATTTGAATTTCCTCTTCACCTACTGGGCTCTGCACAGAACAACCCCAGAAGGGGCTCGTGCCCTGCAGATGTCTCTGCACACTCTCAAGATGATGGCACATGGGGGCATTCACGATCACATTGGTCAGGTAGGAGGAGTGCCCTGGGGTTTAACTGCAGCAATGTGCAGGTGGAGCACGATGGTGAAACCTGTGTGTTCCTCACAGGGCTTCCATCGCTACTCTACTGACCAACACTGGCACGTCCCACACTTTGAGAAGATGCTGTATGACCAGGGGCAGCTGGCAGTTGTGTACAGCAGAGCCTTCCAGGTGTGGCTGTGAGCTCCTGCAGGGCTCGGGCTGCCCATCAGTGGGCACAGAGCACTCCCCTATTCCCCATCTGTAGCGTTTGTTGTGCAGGCAGGAGTGCCGTTCAGGTCTGTGATATTAGCCTGTGAGGCTCTAAATGTGCCTCGTGTTTAAAATCCTTGCCCAGCACTTCTCCCCCTTGTAGCTCTTTCCGTGCCCCGTTACTTCTTGCTGTGTCTCCTTCCCCCCTGCCCGTTGTAACACAGCAGTGATCACCGCCTCACCTCCCCTGCAGATCTCTGGCGATGAGTTCTTTGCCGACGTTGCTGCCGACATCCTGCTGTACGCCTCGCGGGACCTGGGCAGCCAGGTGTGTTCCCCAGGTCACTTACTTACCCTGCCTGGGATGCAGTGCTGTGCTGCAGGGCTGTGCCCACAGCCGGACATCTCTGCTGTTTCCTCCCCAGACCGGAGGCTTTTACAGTGCAGAGGATGCAGATTCCTACCCGACGGCCGCCTCCAGCAAGAAGCAGGAAGGAGCTTTTTGTGTGTGGGCAGCCGAGGAGGTCCGGGCTCTGCTCCCTGACCCGGTGGAGGGGGCTGCGGAGGGCACAACCCTGGGAGATGTCTTCATGCACCACTACGGGGTGAAGGAGGACGGCAATGTGAGCCCCAGGAAGGTGAGGGGTTGTGCAGACCTCACCGGGAGCATTGCTGCACCCGAGGCACGTGGGTCCAAGCCGTGCGGGCCGGGCAATGTTCCTAGAGCAGAGCTCTCCTTGCAGGACCCCCATAAGGAGCTGCAGGGCAAGAATGTCCTCATTGTCCGTTCCTCCCCGGAGCTGACAGCCGCGCGCTTTGGGCTGCAGCCGGGGCAGCTGAGTGCTGTGCTGCAGGAGGGCAGGCACAGGCTGCAGGCAGCCCGGGCACAGCGCCCACGGCCCCACCTGGACACCAAGATGCTGGCCTCGTGGAACGGTGCGTGGATCTGCAGCCGTCTGTGCGGCTGCTGCTGGTGTGAAATAATGCTGTGTTGGGCTTTTTTATTTTCTTCTTGCCAGCAGAGAGCAGCAAAACTCTTCCCTGGCGCAGCCTGCTTGGCAGGACTGGGAGGGATGGGGCTGAGGTCTGTGCTCACCACATATCAGCAGGGTGAGAATGGGGTGCTGTTCCTGTCCCTGTGGGACGTGCCTGCAGCCTGAGCTGGAAGTACAGCGCAGAGCCAAGTCTCACAGCTTGTGCCACAGGCAAAGGCTGAGATCTTGCTGTGGTTTCAGTGCTCTGCCTTTCTCTGGATGGTAGTTCAGTGAGGGACTTTCTGGGAGGCTGGAAGAGAGCAGAGGAGATGATGGCCTGCAGTTACAATGTCAGGGAGCATGAGCTTTGTGTGAAGCATCCTGTGGAGGAAAATGTGTGACACCCAGCCATTCCCTTGTGCCTGAGCTTTCCCTGTGCCCACGCAGGACTGATGATCTCAGGCTTTGCCCAGGCTGGAGCAGTGCTGGCCAAGCAGGAGTACGTGAGCCGGGCAGCGCAGGCGGCTGGCTTTGTGCGCAGGCACCTCGTGGAGCCAGGCAGCGGCAGGCTGCTGCGGAGCTGCTACCGTGGCGAGGCCGATGTGGTGGAGCAGAGGTGAGTGGTGGTGCAAGAAGTGTCGCTCAGCCCAAATCCTTTCCATTTCTTGTCTTTGGAGCTGGTAGGAGCCTTTCTGTTCTGCTGCTGACCTGCACTACCCTCATATGGTGCCTTGGCACAGCCACTGCTGAGCTCGGGCTGAGCTCGGGAGGCAGCCAAGCAAGGTGGTGTCTCCTTGGTCACAAACAGCAGTGCAGAGAGTTTCCCCCAGCCTGCCCTGCTGGGCTGCAGACACTGGTGTCTGTCCCCCCTGCTGTTGCAGTGCTGCTCCCATTCATGGATTCCTGGAGGATTACGTCTTCATCATTCAGGGTCTCTTTGACCTCTATGAAGCTTCGCTGGACCAGAGCTGGCTGGAGTGGGCCCT